CTAGGGACAGGGAGATGGTGGGACGGGGATGTGACAGGGACAGAAACACGGACACACTGGGATGGCCATGGGGACACGGGGACAGGGTGTCGGGGATGGTGGGGCGAGGGCGGGGACAGGGGCATGGTGGGGCGGCCCCAGCCCCGGGGACAGGGGCGAGGGGACAGTGACTGCCCTCGGGACCCCGGGGTGGGCGAGCTGCGGCCCGCGGGGGTGGTCACGGCCTCGGGGGGAGCAGGAGGAGCACGAGGACAGGACCCCGCGGCTGGGGGGACACGGGGACAGCGGGAGCCCCTCCGTGGCCTTCAGGTGGCCCCAGCGTTACTGCAAGGGGGGGGACCCCAGAGATGGGGGTCAGGGGACTGGGGTGGGGACAGGGTCCGCCGTGTCCACGGATCGGGGTGAGCACGGAGAAGGGAAGCGAAAAGGGAGCCAGAGGGAGCAGGGAGCCAGGGCTGGAGCAGGGAGCCAGGGCTGGAGCAGGGATCTCTGAGTCATGCTGGCAGCCCGGGCTCCTGGATCCGCTGTCGCCGTGCCCGGATTTGTCTTTGTCTCGTGGATAAACTGCTTTCCAAGTGCCAGCATCCTCCAGGAACCAGCAGGAAGCCATCCAATCCTTCATTCCAAAGTGAATTCCTGCCATGAGATTTACCACTAAGCTGCTCCGTGCTGCTCTCGCCGAGGCCTTGACCCTGCACAGACTCCTGCACGTGGTTAAAGTTTACAGGGAAAACGTGGCCTTTGCCATGGGAAAAGAGGGACGGTTTTGTACTGCCCTGCTGGCAGCGGGCACGGAATCACGGGACCCTGGAATGGTCGGGGCTGGGAGGGAGCTTAGGGCTCATCCCGTGTCACCCCCTGCCACAGGCTGGGGCTTGGCCATGGGACTGTGCCACAGAAATGTCACTACAAGTGTCCCCCATGACTGAGTGGGTAAAATCCTCATTTATGGATGCTTTTCCAGTGTGAGGGCTGCAAGGGGAGGACTCCTAGAATTTACACGGCACCCAGTGTAGTAATTAGCACGTTGGTGGCCATTAATGCGGGAAAAAATAGCACAACCTCAGGAGTTTCACTTCCCTGTTTCATCTGTTGGAGAGAAATGGGTTTATAAAGCATTTTTTGTGGCTTGCTGTGGCTTCTGGGGACAGGATGAAACCATCCCAGCAAATTCCCAAACCTTCCAGCCGCCCCCAGAGCCCATTCCCACCCCCAGGAGGGCTGGGGCTGTACAGCCTGACTCCTCCAGCTGATTTCTAGAGCTCCAGCCTTGGAACGGCTTCCTTGGTCTCTGCTCCAGCCCTCTGGAACACGCAAAGATACAGCTGAACTCTGGGCTTGGCAGCAGCAGGGCCAGGAGCTGCCAACTCCCCTCTCCCAGCAGGGACAGGGACAGACACCCCAGGCCACGGTTCTGTGCCCTGGCTGTGGCACAGGGCACTGGATCCCACTGGGAACAACTGCTGGAATGTCCTCAGCACTGACACAAGGGGCTGGGCCCTGGCGTGGCAGGGCCAGGCTGGATGGGGCTGGGAGCAGGCTGGACTCACGGAAGGTGTCCCTATCCCTGGCAGGGTGGCACTGGGGGGCATCAGGGACCCCCTCAATCCAAACCCTTGAAGCATTCCCGGCAGGTGCTCTGTGTGAGGACAGCCCCTCAGCGCGAGGAGCGCTCTGCCTGCAGAGCCCCCGGCCCTGGAGCAGGGATGGAGCTGAGCCTGAGCAGGATTCCCAGCGGGAGCGGGCACACGCTGGGTGGGAGGCTGCAGCCCAGAATAGGCTGTGGATGATGAAGAATTCTGGGATCTATTCTTGGCTCGGGATTGAGGCGTGATCCGGTGCCTCCAGCAGGCATCAGAACAGGATCTCCCAGCGCCGGTTTGACATTAATCTGAGCGGCCCTGCAGGGAGGAGGGGACGAGCTCTCCTCCCTTCTCCCGCAGCCACAGACTGCCGAGCACCCAGCGCTGCTCTGGGAGCTTCTCCAAACCCCGGCGTTCCTCTCTGGCTGCCTTTTGGGCCGAGTGACCGGGCCTGGTTCGAATCCCACGGCTCCGAGTGCCCGAGCACAAAGAGCCCGAGGAGCAGCTCACATTCCTTGGCCTGCGGCACCCCGCACGTTCCCGGGCTGCAGGGAATGTTCCTCGCCGCTCTGGGGAACATTATCCACATGAGCCCGGCCGGCAGCGCGGGAGGCCAGGGCAGCGGCTCCCGCGGGGCACGGTTAATTATAGCCGGCAGGGTTGGGCAATGTTGTGTTTGCCGGGTTGCCGGGGAGATGAGCGGCGGCCCCGGCAGCTCCGCGCTCGGCGGCAGCGCTGCGCTCGCAGGGCTGCACCGCCGACCTTCCCAAATATGGTCCAGCAGCAGCCGGAGCTCCCCGGCTCGGCCCGGGCTCCGGGACCAGCCGGCTGCTGCCATCGGACCCTCGCAGCCTCTCCTGAGGGCACCAAACCCAGCCCTGCGGGAAATGCCGCTCTGCAGCCTCCCCTGGCCACAACCAGCAGCCTGGGCTGGGCACGGCCCGAGCCCCGCAGGGCTCCGGCCGGGGGATACCCAGAGCAGCCGGGCAAAGGAGTCCTGAGGGCTCGGGGGGTTCAACAACAGGAAACCAAAACTGCTCTGGGGCAGGTCCTGAGGTCATGGAAACCTCCTGTGGAGCCAGGCTGGGAGAACAGGGAATGTTCCCCTGGAGCAGAGAAGGCTCCAGGCAGAGCTGAGAGCCCCTGGCAGGGCCTGCAGGGGCTCAGCAGAGCTGCAGAGGGACTGGGGACAAGGCCTGCAGGGACAGCACCCAGGGAATGGCTCCCACTGCCAGAGGGCAGCCATGGGTGGCATCTTGGCAATGAGCAATTCCTGCCTGGGCTGGCATTGCCAGAGCAGCTGGGGCTGCCCCTGATCCCTGCAGTGCCCAGGGCCAGGCTGGGCACTGGGGCTGGAGCAGCCTGGGACAGTGGGAGCTGTCCCTGCCATGGCAGGGGGGGCACTGGAGGGGCTCTGAGGTCCCTTCCCACCCAACCATTCCAGGATTCCCTGATTCTGTGATTCCAACATTTGTCTGCCTGCCTCGTGGCTCTGGGAAGTTCTCTGTGAAGGAATGGGAATGCTGGGTGTGACCTTCTGTTCCTGACAGCTCCCTGCTCAGGGACAGGGCTTTGCTCCCATTCTAATGGAAACCCTCCAGCCCTCACTTTTACACTTCTCAGATGTTCTAAGCACTTTTATCGTCCTTTTTATTCACAGTTAATTTTCTTCTGCTTGGCAAGGAGGGAATATTTGTGTGGCTGCAGTGAAATCAGCCATGGGAGACCCCTGGGACAAGATTAAAACTGATTTTTATTGTGGGACAAAGAGTTACCGAGGAAAAAATGTCCAATATTTTTAATTCATATTTTCCTTATCTTTTCCTCCTGTCCCGTGTGTGGCAAGAATCAGCTCCAAGTGTGGCAAGTATAAATGCAGTGTTGCAGGCTTTATTACAAGCCTGTAATAAATCATAATCAGCATTAATTAGCAGTTCATGGGACAGGGCAGTGTTTAAGTGCAGCTCCTCTGCTCCCTGACCAGGGGAGTTTGACAGGGGCAGGGCAGGTGGGGCAAGGACATTAAAGGGCTGAAACGGAACAAACAAGACGGGGGGCCAAAGAAGTTCCAAAAATAAATAACCAAACCCACGGGGGCGATGCTGCTGTGGGAGCTCGGCAGCCTGGCCGTGGGATTCCTGTGGAAAACACTGCCAGGAGCTGCAGTGACACCAAACACCTGGGGTGTCTGGGGGGACACTCAGGGTCACTTGGACACCAATGGGCACTCTGGAATCATGGAATGGTTTAGCTGGAAGGGACCTCAAAGCCCACCCAGTCCTGTGGGCAGGGACACTGTCCCCGGGTGCTCCAAGCCCTGTTTAACGTGGCCTTGGGCACTGCCAGGGTGGAATTGTTGCTTCTCACACTTTCTCTTTACACTGCTCCTACTGCTCCGGGCCTGACCCTGGCAATAAATAACCCCCCAAAGTGCCTGGGTGCTCCTCGGCAAACCTGCCACAGATCTGTGATTCATCCCCGATATTTCCCAGATGTCCCCGAGCAGGAAGCAGCTCGTGCACTGCATTCACATGCCTGGAATCGCACAAAAATCTCGGGAACTAACAATCCCGGGTCAGCCTTTGCCCTCTGCCTTGGAACACCCCCGTGCCGGCTCCGCCAACGCCCCCGGGCAGCTCCCGGGCCCGGGGCTCCCCGGTGCATCCTCACTCCCGGGGAAAACTGCTCCTAAAGGAATCGGTGTCACTTTCTCACCTTTGTAAACGTAACCGAGGCGTCAGGAAACTTCTACAATAGGAGTCGCTCAATGAAAGAACTCTCTCTCAAGCGAAAGTCAACTTTCAGCTGGGTCAGGTTAGGTCACACAACGAGTTGTGCGTTAGGCAGGTGGAGAGTGTGAGTTACACCGGGGCGGGTCTGTGCAACTTTTCCGGTGAAAGAGATGCCATTTTCGACTCCTTCGTGAGCCTGCTTTGTGGAAATCTCCTCCTCACGCCCGGCAGGGAACAAACAGCGTCTTTTCTAAACGGAGTTTGGAGCGCTCCTAAAACCGGCCCCGCAGGACCGGGGGGCTGCGAACGGGGGCTCGGGGAGGCTCAGACCGGGCACAGGCGGGGGCCGGAGGGGCCCCGGCCGGCACACGCGGGGGCCGGACGCCGAGCGGTGAAGCCGCCGCGGGTTCAATAGACTCAAGCCCCGCGCAGCCCTCACGCCGCCGCCATGACACCCGCACAGCCCCGCCCGCGCCGCTCTGCGCGCCCGCTCCTGTCTCGATGGTCTCGAGACCTCCCGGCCGCCAGGGGGCGCGTTGGGGCGGGGCGGGGGCGCGTTGGGGCGGGGTCCTCCCGGCCGGCAGGGGGCGCGTTGGGGCGGGGCGGGGGCGCGTTGGGGCGGGGTCCTCCCGGCCGGCAGGGGGCGCGGCGGGGGGCGGGCCGCGCGCGGGCGGGCGGCGCCGCCATGGACGCGCTGAGCCGGGCCGGGCCCCGGCCCCGCCGCGCCGCCGCCGCCGCCTCCCCGCTGCCCTGGGGCCGCTTCGCCGCATGGATCGACTGCGTGTGTGTGGTGACCTTCGATCTGGAGCTGGGACAGGCCATGGAGGTGCGCACACTGCCTCAGGGAGCGGGGGGACACGGCCGTCAGGGAGCCGGGCTGTGAGGGGAGCCGGGATGGACCGGAGGAACGGGGAATCGGGGATGGGACTGAGGCTCGGGAATGGGAACAGGGAGGTGACAAGGGGAGTCAGGGACTGCGGGTGTGGAGGGAGCAGGGATGGGGAGAGAGGGAATCGGGGATGGCGGAGTGGAAGGGGAATTAAGGATGGAGACGGAGGGGATTAGGAATGAACAGGGAAAAGCGGGATAAGGAATGGAGAGGAAAAAGCGAAATAAGGAATGGACAGGAGAAAGCGAGATTAGGAATGGACAGGAAAAAGCGGGATTAGGAATGGACAGGGAAAAGTGGGATCACGGTTGGGGGTGTGGACAGGGGGATCAGGGTTGGGGTGGAGGCAGCGAACAGGGAGGGGAGCGGAGCCCGAGCGGAGATTTGGGGTGAATGGGATCTTTGTGGGGTGAGAGGTGCCCAGGGCAGCATCCAAGATCCTTTATGGATCCTCTTCATGGAATAAAACCTGCCCAGGGTGACACGTCCCATGGAGCCCGGCTGGGAGGGAAGGGAAAGGTCCAGGGAGAGCTCCGAGCTGGCATTGCCAGAGCAGCTGGGGCTGCCCCTGATCCCTGCAGTGCCCAAGGCCAGGCTGGGCACTGGGGCTGGAGCAGCCTGGCACAGTGGGAGCTGTCCCTGCCATGGCAGGGGTGGCACTGGAGGGGCTCTGGGGTCCCTTCCCACCCAGCCATGCCAGGATTCCAAAGACACACATTCCCAGCAGCCAGGGCAGGGAGGTGTCCGTGCAGGATTCCCAGGGAAGGGAAGTTCCCTGGCTGGGTTGGAGCAGGGCCGAGCCCCCTTTGGGTGGGATTGGGATGGGAAGGGCTGGACAGCTGTTCCCAGTTCCCTGGAATGTCCAGTGCTGGTCCTGCAGGAGGGTTTGGGATGAGCTGGGCTCCTCAGGGGCTGCTCTCTGAGGAAAGCAGGGAACTGTGGATTTGTCTGAACCTGAGGCATCACCTCAAATCCCTTCTGATTTCTTGTGTGGTTTTGGGAGTCACTCCTCGCTCTGCCCTTTTTAGGGAGATTGATCTGGTTTTCAGAGAATTCAGCCTTCCCAGTTTTAAATGCTGGAGCTTCCAAAGGGAATGGGAAGCAGGAGGAACCAACTCCACCTTTTTGCTGCTCCCTTGCCTTGAACACTTGATTCTTTCCCTGGAGCCTCAAAGTCAATAAAAAAATTCTCCTCCAGACTCGAGTTTCACCTGTTTGATCCTTTTTCCTGCAAAACCAGGCCTGAAGTACCCCAAAAAAGGGAAGAATATTGGGATGATAATTAACATGGCAAATTCAACGCTTTGTAGTTGTGTTTTGATGTGTAAAGGTGGGTTCTCACCTGTCTGCCTTTGTGAGGAGGGGCCTTTGTGGATGAGGGATGCAGGAATGTTGCTTGTTCATCCCTGGAAAGGAATTTTCATTCTTTTCCTCTCTTTCCCTGCGTAAGTTTCAGTGGGAAAATGTTCCTTATGTGGCAGAAATGACTTAGGAAAACTGGGAACGTGTCAGTGGGGATGACACAGCCCCATTGTCCACCTTCCTTTGGAAAAATGTTTTAGATTTCCATCCCAGAGAGAAGGGGAAGGAGCAGGGATGAGACATGGGAAGGGAAGCCAGCAAGGGGAGAAGCTTGGGGGGCTCTGGGGGTACCAGTTTAGGGGGTCTGGCCATACAAACCCAGGGGGTCTCTGTGGGTACAAACCTGGAGGGTCTCTGAAATTCATCTCTGGGAGACTCAGAAATCCAGCAGACTCTGAGGGAGAGCCCCACGATCCTGGAATTCAGCGATTCCCACTCTGCTTCCAAGGACAGTGGAGAAGCTGTTGGAAAGCAGAACCCAAATCAAGGCAGGAATTAAATGGAATTCCTGTTCCTGGCCCCTCCACCTTCAAATAACCAAATAAACACTTTGGGATATGATTGAAGCCCTTTTGGGCTGCTCTGGAGACATCCAGGGACTTCTACACATCCTAATTTCCTTTTCATTTGCCTTTTTTTGGGTTTTGAAGAGTTATAGTGACTGAGATTCCTTTTGGTTCGATTTGAAGTTTGGAACTTTTGGATATACCCCAAACATAGAGAAACATCAGAGTTAAAGTGAAGGGGAAGCAGAGATGAGGGATTAAGGTTAGAAAGGACCTCTGAGATCATCAATTCCAGCCCTGGAGGTTAAAGCCTGATTTTCCAAACGTTCTCTTGCAGAAAGCACCCCCCCAGAATCCAGCAGGAGAAGCTGAAGCCTTGTCCCAAGTCCTGCTCTGAATTAGGCAGCAAATGTTGAGGAAAGCACAATTCCTGGCATTCACTGATGGACCAGGATCAGCTGTCCAGGCCGTGATTCCCTGGGAATTAACAGGATAAACGTCGGGGTGGGGTTCATTAGTCCCAACCACAGGGACGTGTTGGGGGTCCTGGCACAGAACAGGGGGAGCAGGGAGGTGATGGATGCCCTGGGACAATCCCAGCCCTCGCTCTCCCTGCTGAGTCCCTGGAGCTGCTCGGGGATCGTTTTGCCCCGGGATTTTGGTGGCTGTTGTCTCTCAGCTCAGCTCTCATCAGCAGCGCTGTTCATTGGGAGTTTGGCTGGCTGGGCCCGAGCGCCGCCCTCGCCAGGGACCCGCGGGAATTGTCAGAGCTGGGTGAGCTCCCAGCCCCTGGCACGGGGCCACCCGGGCTATTTATAGCCTGGAGAGAGAGTCAGGGCTGAGGGAGCTCCTGGCTGGAGCAGCAGCTGATGCTGGAGCACAGTCCTGAGGCTGACGCGGGAGATCCAGCTCAGCCCGGCCTGTGCCGGCTCCTTCTGCTCCGCTGCAGTTCCTGCACTCCAGCAGGGGCTCTGTGGGATCCTTCATGGGGACCCACCCCATGAGACCCCACCTGCAGGGCTGCCCCAGCCCTGGGACACAGCAGCAGCACCTGGAGCTGCTGCAGAGATTCCAGAGGAACCCATGGAGCTGCTGCAGGGCTGGAGCCCCTCAGCTCCCAGGGAGCCAGGCTGGGAGAGCTGGGGGTGCTCACCTGGAGAGGAGAAGGATCCAGGGAGAGCTGAGAGCCCCTGGCAGGGCCTGCAGGGGCTCCAGGAGAGCTGCAGAGGGACTGGGGACAAGGCCTGCAGGGACAGCACCCAGGGAATGGCTCCCACTGCCAGAGGGCAGCCATGGGTGGCATCTTGGCAATGAGCAATTCCTGCCTGGGCTGGCATTGCCAGAGCAGCTGGGGCTGCCCCTGATCCCTGCAGTGCCCAAGGCCAGGCTGGGCACTGGGGCTGGAGCAGCCTGGCACAGTGGGAGCTGTCCCTGCCATGGCAGGGGGGGCACTGCAGGGGCTCTGGGCTCCCTTCCCACCCAAACCATTCCAGGACTCCCTGGCTCTGTGATCCCCGTGGGTTATGAGAAGCCCAGAGTCACGCTGGAGCAGCCCTCCAAGGTTACCAAGTCCAGGTTATAGAATTCCTCCCTTTGGGATTTGTCTCAGCCATGGCTGTTGAGCCCTCCTGGTACCCCATTCCTGCAGTGCATCCCCCACACCCCCTGGTCTTTCCCAGCTCCTGCTTCACCCTGTCCCTCCTGTGTGTCCTGTCCTGCTGCTGACAGAACAGATGTTTGCACATCTGGAATGCTCCCAGAGGATTTGGGGCAGTTCATTCACTCAGCCATCAGGAATAAATCTAAACCAGGAGCCTTTGGGTCTGTCCAGAAATGCAAATAAAGCCGGGTTCAGTGCCAGGTTCAGAGTTTAAATCATCCCAGGAGCTCTCCCGTGGGCTCTGCTGGGGTCAGGGAGGAGGTGTGTGTGGAGCTGTGGGCACAGGGGCTGACAGGCTCTGCTCTCTCCACAGCTGGTGTACCCCCACGACTTCAGGCTCACCGAGAAGGAGGTAACCACCCCACCTTTCATTCCCTCCTCCCTCCTTTGCCAGCTGCTCTCAAGGGCCTCACTGGGTGTTGGTTTTTTGCAGAAAACGAGCATCTGCTACCTGTCCTTCCCAGACTCCTACTCAGGTGGGTGACGCCGGGGGTGACAGAAGTGTCCCTGGTGGGAGGACAGTCCCTGGGGCGCAGCAGGGCCCAGGGGGCTGCAGGGAGCACCCTGGGGCTGAGCCAGAGCCCCCTTGCTGTGCTGGGTGGGAACCTGTGCTCCAAGGGAATTCCCAGTGCGGCCAGGAGGGGTGGCAGCTGTCACATTCCTGTGGCTGGGAGCAGGAGCTGGGCAGGGGACACTTCCAGCAGAAATGTTCCCAAACCTGAGTTTGTACTTCACAAAGGGACAATGAGAAATAAATCTACTCATCCAGCCAGGCCCTGGGGCTTTAAGGATTGGGCTTCTGCATTTTCATGGAATTCTGGAACGGTTTGGGTGGGAAGGGACCTCAGAGCCCCTGCAGTGCCACCCCTGCCATGGCAGGGACACCTCCCACTGTCCCAGGGTGCCACAAGCCCCAGTGTCCAGCCTGGCTTGGGCACTGCCAGAGATCCAGAGGCAGCCACAGCTGCCAGGGCCTGCCCACCCTGCCAGGGAAAAGCTTTTTCCTATAGCTCCATTTTCCTTTTTTCTTCCCATTCTGCTTCCTTTTTCCCTTTGCTCTCCCTTTCGGATTTCTTTGGTTTCTCCCTCGTCCCTCCCCATTCCCTGCTGGGTTTCCCCATGGCCCCCTCCCATCGTGCTGGAGCCATTCCCTGTCACTGTCCCCGTGTGTGTGTCGCAGGTGGCCTCGGGGACACCCAGTTCAGCTTCCGGCTGCGCCAGGCCGGGGGCTCCCGCAGCTCCCCGTTCCAGGATGACGGCCGCTACAACCGGGAGGCCCCGGTGACGCTGCAGGTGGGTCCTGCCCTCGCCCTGCCGGGGCAAAGCCGGGGATGCCCTGGGGAAACCCTCCTGCTCTTGGCTGTGGGAACTGGGGGACAAGAACGGTTCAGCTCAGGGATTGCCTTCTGTGCTCACGGGGAGGGAGAGCGGGACAGGGAACTGCTGGGACAGGGAATGGGATCAGAGGTGGGACTGGATCAGGGACAGGGAATGGGATCAGGGGACAGGGAACTGCTGGGACTGGGAATGGGATCGGGGGACAGGGAACTGCTGGGACTGGGAATGGGATCGGGGGACAGGGAACTGCTGGGACAGGGAACTGCTGGGACAGGGAATGGGATCAGAGGTGGGAATGGGATCAGGGACAGGGAACTGCTGGGACAGGGAATGGGATCAGAGGTGGGACTGGATCAGGGACAGGGAATGGGATCAGGGGACAGGGAACTGCTGGGACTGGGAATGGGATCGGGGGACAGGGAACTGCTGAGACAGGGAACTGCTGGGACAGGGAATGGGATCAGAGGTGGGACTGGATCAGGGACAGGGAATGGGATCAGGGACAGGGAACTGCTGGGACAGGGAATGGGATCAGAGGTGGGACTGGATCAGGGACAGGGAATGGGATCAGGGGACAGGGAACTGCTGGGACTGGGAATGGGATCGGGGGACAGGGAACTGCTGGGACAGGGAATGGGATCAGAGGTGGGAATGGGATCAGGGACAGGGAACTGCTGGGACAGGGAATGGGATCAGAGGTGGGACTGGATCAGGGACAGGGAATGGGATCAGGGGACAGGGAACTGCTGGGACAGGGAATGGGATCAGAGGTGGGACTGGATCAGGGACAGGGAATGGGATCAGGGGACAGGGAACTGCTGGGACTGGGAATGGGATCGGGGAACAGGGAACTGCTGGGACAGGGAATGGGATCAGAGGTGGGACCGGATCAGGGACAGGGAAAGGTGGGACTGGATCAGGGGACAGGGAACTGCTGGGACAGGGAATGGGATCAGAGGTGGGACTGGATCAGGGACAGGGAATGGGATCAGGGGACAGGGAACTGCTGGGACTGGGAATGGGATCAGGGGACAGGGAACTGCTGGGACAGGGAATGGGATCAGAGGTGGGACTGGATCAGGGACAGGGAATGGGATCAGGGGACAGGGAACTGCTGGGACTGGGAATGGGATCAGGGGACAGGGAAAGGTGGGACTGGATCAGGGGACAGGGAACTGCTGGGACAGGGAATGGGATCAGAGGTGGGACTGGATCAGGGACAGGGAATGGGATCAGGGGACAGGGAACTGCTGGGACAGGGAATGGGATCAGAGGTGGGACTGGATCAGGGACAGGGAATGGGATCAGGGGACAGGGAACTGCTGGGACTGGGAATGGGATCGGGGAACAGGGAACTGCTGGGACAGGGAATGGGATCAGAGGTGGGACCGGATCAGGGACAGGGAAAGGTGGGACTGGATCAGGGGACAGGGAACTGCTGGGACAGGGAATGGGATCAGAGGTGGGACTGGATCAGGGACAGGGAATGGGATCAGGGGACAGGGAACTGCTGGGACTGGGAATGGGATCGGGGAACAGGGAACTGCTGGGACAGGGAATGGGATCAGAGGTGGGACTGGATCAGGGACAGGGAAAGGTGGGACTGGATCAGGGGACAGGGAACTGCCGGGAGAGGGAATTAGGTCAGGGGGATCAAAGAGTGAATTGAATCGGAGAGAGGGAACTGAACTGAGTCAGGGGGACCCCTAGATATTTTGGGAGGTGGAGCAGAATTAGGGAGACCCCAGTTCCACTAGGAGAGAGAACTGAATTTGGGAGACCTCAGTTATTTTGGGAGAGGAAACTGAAGCAGGGGGAGCCTGGCAAATCTGGGAGAAGGAGCTGAAGCAGGGACACCTCCCACTGTCCCAGACTGCTCCAAGTTCCAGTGTCCAGCCTGGCCTTGGACACTGCCAGGGATCCAGGGGCAGCCACAGATTTTCCTCTGGGAATTCTATTCCAGGACCAGGAATTGCTCGTTGCCAAGATGCCACCCATGGCTGCCCTCTGGCAGTGGGAGCCATTCCCTGGGTGCTGTCCCTGCAGGCCTTGTCCCCAGTCCCTCTGCAGCTCTGCTGGAGCCCCTGCAGGCCCTGCCAGGGGCTCTCAGCTCTCCCTGGATTCTCCCTCTCCATGTGAGCACCCCCAGCTCTCCCAGCCTGGCTCCAGTTGTGTCTCTCCCCGTGTCCCCATGGAAAGCTCTCTTGGAGGGCTGGGAGGTGTCAGAGCAGGGGGGTGGCTCAGGAGGGGTTGGTGGCAGTGGGGCTGGGCTGTCCTTAACTGTCTCTCTGTTCTTTTTCTGTCCCTCCCTCTCTCTCTGTCCCTCTGTCCCTGCCTGTCCCTCTGTCCCTGCAGCGAGAGGCTGCTCACTATTTCGGGTACGTGTACTTCCGGCAGGTCAAGGACAGCTCCATGAGGAGGGGCTACTTCCAGAAGGTCAGTGCTGAGTCTGGGATCCCGGGATCCTGAGGCTGGAAAAGCCCTCCCAGCCCATGGAGCCCCAGCTGTGCCCAGTGCCCACCTTGTCCCCAGCCCAGAGCCCAGAGTGCCACCTCCAGGAATTCCTGGGACACCTCCAGGGATGGGCACCCCAAAGCTCCCTGGGCAGCCCCTGCCAAGGCCTGAACCCCCTTTCCATGGGGAAATTCCTGCTGATTCCACCCAGACCCTCCCCTGGCCCAGCTTTGTCCTGTGCTGGTCCCAGCAGTGTCCTCAGCTTTGTGCCCTCCACCTCCAGGAGTTCCTTTCTGACTCCTGCTAATGCAGAATTCAGTTTTTCCATCCCCACTAAACCAGTGAGTTTTCCACTGGAACAGTGGGATTGCTCAGGGAAGGAATTATCCCATTTGGATGAGGTTTGAATTCAAATGGCCAAGTTTGGGGTTGGACAGGAGGGGTTTAAATGACTCCTGCATTCCTAATTAATGCACTCATTAATGGCTAGGGGAAGAGGAGAGTCAATGTAACAATGAAACCTCCAGTGGGGCTGGGCTGGGACAGCTGTAAAAAACAGGGATTTATTTCACAAGGAGGCCCCAATTAGAACAAAAAGGCCTTGCTGGACACAATTGATTATTCCAAGTTCTTTTGTCCTTCCCCAGCATTCCTTGACTCTGTTTATCTGCCCAGTTCCCATTTCAGGAGTCACTCTTTTGTGCTTCTCCACCTGAAATGGTTTTGGGAGCTTTGAACCCACCAGCAACTGAGTTTTATTCCCTCTCCAGCTGCTCCTTTGCCAGGCCATGCTCCCATCCCTTTGCTCTCCCAAATCCTGGCTCACGAGCAGGTGGCAGCAGGAATTCCACCAAAGTGCTGCTTGGGAGCTGCTCCACGGATTTAGTGCTGGGGTTTTTAAGTTCCCCCCTCTCTGAGCAGCACAGAAATGTGCAGTGCTGGGGTCAGGGCGGTCCTGATCCCAAATGTGCCGTTCCCAGTCCCTGGTGCTCGTGTCCCGCCTTCCCTACGTGAACCTGTTCCAGTGCCTGCTGCAGCTGATTGCTCCGGAATACTTCGACAAGCTGGAGCCCTGCCTGGAGGCAGGTGAGCTGGGGGCAGGGATTCCAGCCTGGGATGGAGGGGCTGCATCGGGAGGGTCCTGCAAAACAGCTGCAGTGCTCCAAATGGCTTCACTCTGGAGCAGATTCCAGCAGGGATGAGCCTCCTCCTGCTTGTGCAAGTGGATAACCAGGTGTAAAGGAGGGATTGTGGGGAGGGAGGGGATGGGGCTGTCAGTTTGGATGCAAGGTGTTCCCAAGGAATGAGGGGTGTTCCCAAAGCTAGGAATCTGGTGCGCCTCCATCAGGCCTTTTGTGCCTGATTTCATCCTGATCTATCAGCTCTGTGTTTGCCACAAGCATGGGGATGTGTGAGCTGGGAAAGGGAACAATTCCCTTTCAGAATGCCAGGATGAGCTGGACTTTCCCTCGGGTGAATCTCTCCCCTTCCTGTGTCCCACAGTGTGCAACGAGATCGACCAGTGGCCACCCCCAGTGCCTGGCCAGACCCTGAACCTGCCCGTGATGGGAGTTGTCATCCAGGTACCTGGGGGGCTGTGTTCCGTGCTCCTGCATGTGAAATCCCCGCTCAGCCCACATTCCCCACGGCCTTGCCAGCTGGAAATGGTGCCTGGGATTGCCCTGCCGGTCCCACCCAGTGCGATCCCTGCTCTCCTTGCCCTGCAGGTGAGGATCCCATCCCGGGTGGACAAGCCAGGCTCCAGCCCAGTGAAGCAGTGCAACCAGGAGGTGAGAGGGGCTGGAGCAGAGGGAGGAGCTGGATCCTGAATCCTCTTGGGAGCCCTTTGGGCTGGGATCAGTGTGGTCTCAGCAGTTCCACGCCAGCCTCTCCTGCCTGGAGTCACACAGGGCTCTCTGCACCCACTCTGGGTGCTTTACTCACTGCCCGTTGCTTTTCCTGGGAAGTCAGGCCCTGCTGGGTCTCCTGCCTTCACCCTGGAGTTGTTCTGAATTTGCTTCAGTGTTTTGGTTCAGCTCTGGTTTGGATTCCTTCCTTTCCCCTTTCTCTGACTAACACTGGTTTGGTGCCACATCTCTAACCCCGCTGGCTCTGCTGTGTCTCAAACACTCTCCCACCAGAGGAAACCGTGGAAAACAAAGGAGCAGTCATGGGCAGCCTTTCCCATCTGGAAAAGAAGGGAATCTTCCTTGTTTGTAGGCACAGGAATTAGTCTGGGATTGAGTGCTGTGCCCACCTCGGGGTGTGAGCCCTGTTCCCTGTGGCTGGCTGGTGGAATTCCAGGCAGGCTGCTCCCATCTCCTCACAGTTCACTAACAGCTACTAACAGCCTTTTCTCCCTTCCTCATCCAGAATCTGTTACCAGCCCCCCTGGTTCTCCCCAGTGTTCATGAGCTGGATCTGTTCAGGTGAGAGGCTCCTCCCGACCCTCTCCCCTCCACCAGCCGCCCTCTCCCTGCTGGGAGCATCCCACACATCACAGGGATGGTGCACAATCAAACACTGCTGCGTTCCAGGGACTCCTTTGGGATTCTGGGCAGGCTTTGAGCTGAGGGTTGTGCCTGCACAGCCCCAGGGCCAGGAGAGGGGCTGGGGGTGAGAGCTGGACCTGACCCAGCCCAGAGCCCCCCAGCCCTGGGCTGAGCCCAGTGGGCAGCAGGGCAGGGGATCCTGTCCCTGTGTCCCCTCAGGTGCTGCCCCAGCCCTGGGGACACAGCAGCAGCACCTGGAGCTGCTGCAGAGAGCCCAGAGGAGGCCCCAAAGTGGCAGGGGTGGCACTGGATGGGTTTTGAGGTCCCTTCCCACCCAAACCATTCCATGACTCTCTGATCACAGATTGCCTGACTTTGCTTAGAGCATTTCCTTTAAACTTGTATGAAACAAGTGAGTGACAGCCCAGGTGAAAGCAGCTGAGTTTCCCTGTGGAATGCTGAAAGTCCATCCTAGATCTCAAATTCCCAGACAGGAGCACACCTGGGGGGGCTTGCAGGCCACAGCTGTGTCTGTCCATCCTGACTGACCCTGTCATTGTCCCCATTGTCCCAGGTGCTTCCAGCCAGTGCTGATCCACATCCAGATGCTGTGGGAGCTGATGCTGCTGGGGGAGCCCATGGTGGTGATGGCACCGTCCCCAACCATGTCCTCAGAGATGGTCCTGGCCCTCACCAGGTACCACCCACAGGGTGGGAGGGACTGGGAGCTGTGACACCAAATTCTGGCAGCTTTTCCCTGCCACATGCGCTCTGTGCTGCTCACCAGGGTTGGGTTCAGTTTGCTCGAGGAAGCTTTGCAAGACAAACTGCAAATATTCCAGCAAGGGTAGAGAGGAGTACAAAGGAATCTCCCCTGATGGTTCCAGCCCTGAGGAATGTTCTCTCCCCTGCTCAGAGCTCTGTCTTAGCACAAAACCCCAAAAACAGCAGCATCCCTAGAGAGGGTCAGCCAGGCCAGGTGCCAGGTGCTGCCCTGGGCTCAGCCCCAGGCTGGGACAGGGGGCTGGAAAGCTGGGAAAGGCCCTGGGGGTGCTGTGCCAGCGGCTGGGCACGAGCCCAGGGGGGCCAGGGGGGCAGGAGGGCGATGGGCACAGCCCCAGGGTGGGCACGGCCCAGGGCAGGGACCGTCCCCTGTGCTGGCCCGAGGGGACCGGACCCTGCCGTGCCCAGGGTGACTCTGCCATACCTGGGGTGACTCTGCCATGCCCAGGGTGACCCTGCCATGCCCAGGGTGACCCTGCCATGCCCAAGGTGACCGTGCATGGCTCTGTGCCTGTCCCTGCAGCTGCCTGGCCCCGCTGCGTTACTGCTGCGATTTCCGGCCCTACTTCACCATCCACGACAGCGAGTTCAAGGAATACACCACGCGCACCCAGGCCCCGTGAGTGCCCCTTGTGCGCTGCCACCTCCCCCCAGGGACAGCCAGGGCCACCAGCGCTCAGCCTGTCCCCTCCTTCCAGGCCCAACATCGTCGTGGGCGTCACCAACCCCTTCTTCATCAAGACCCTGCAGCACTGGCCGCACATCCTGCGGGTGGGCGAGCCCCGCATGTCAGGTGAGCACAGGGGGCCTGCCAGGGGAGCTCAGGGTGAAGGGAGAGCTCAGGGGGCCTGCAGGGGAGCTTAGGGGGCCTGCCAAGGGTGGTGCCAGGGTGTTGCAGTCGAGAGAGCCACAATTTCAGAAAGCTTTAAGCATTCCTCCATGCACAGTAACACCACACCACATCAGAAGGCTGCAGGCATCTGCCCTTGCTGTTCTTTGCCCACCCTTTTATGCCCTCATGTTCGTGCAGTGCACCTGTGTGCCCTCTGCTCCCTGGGCACACCTGGGCACCCCATGGCTGTCAGTGCTGCTCACCTGGGCACCCCATGGCTGTCAGTGCTGTCAGTGCTGCTCACCTGGGCACCCCATGGCTGTCAGTGCTGCTCACCTGGGCACCCCATGGCTGTCAGTGCTGTCAGTGCTGCACACCTGGGCACCCCATGGCTGTCAGTGCTGCTCACCTGGGCACCCCATGGCTGTCAGTGCTGTCAGTGCTGCTCACCTGGCACCCCATGGCTGTCAGTGCTGCTCACCTGGGCACCCCATGGCTGTCAGTGCTGTCAGTGCTGCTCACCTGGGCACTCCATGGCTGTCAGTGCTGCTCACCTGGGCACCCCATGGCTGTCAGTGCTGCTCACCTGGCACCCCATGGCTGTCAGTGCTGTCAGTGCTGCTCACCTGGGCACCCCATGGCTGTCAGTGCTGCTCACCTGGCACCCCATGGCTGTCAGTGCTGTCAGTGCTGCTCACCTGGGCACCCCATGGCTGTCAGTGCTGCTCACCTGGGCACCCCATGGCTGTCAGTGCTGTCAGTGCTGCTCACCTGGCACCCCATGGCTGTCAGTGCTGTCAGTGCTGCTCACCTGGGCACCCCATGGCTGTCAGTGCTGTCAGTGCTGCTCACCTGGGCACCCCATGGCTGTCAGTGCTGCTCACCTGGCACCCCATGGCTGTCAGTGATGTCAGTGCTGCTCACCTGGGCACCCCATGGCTGTCAGTGCTGCTCACCTGGGCACCCCATGGCTGTCAGTGCTGTCAGTGCTGCTCACCTGGGCACTCCATGGCTGTCAGTGCTGCTCACCTGGGCACTGAGCTGCCCTGGCAGTGGTTTTCTCTCCTGGGAGAGCCCAGCAGCCCCACAGGAGCTCACCTCTGGCTGTGGCCATGTGCAGGATGAGCACGGAGCTGGGGCAGGGTGTGGGGAGCAGGAATTGCTGTCCTGGAGCTTTCTGGGCAGGAAATTGAGAGAGGTGAGGAGAGAGAGAAAGCTCCTCTCCTTTACTGCGCACCTTTGTTGGCTGGGAAGCCAAGGCAGCCCTGGGCAGGAGGAGCTGGTTTTCAGCACATCCTGATGCCAGAGTTCCAGCAGGGAAGGGAGCTGGGACTGCTCTGAGGGTGGGCAGGGGCAGGGCTGGGTGTCCCCAGCTGCAGTCCCAGCAGGAAGGACAGAGCCTGAATTGTCCCCGCTGTGTGGCACAGGAGACCTGCCCAAGCAGGTGAAGGTGAAGAAGCCGGCCAAGCTGAAGACCCTGGACACCAAACCAGGTGGGTGCAGGCCTCGGGAATCCCTCAGGACTGACCCTTCCCGTGGGGTTTGGCAGCAGGGAGCTGTGTCCATTTGGGACTCCTGATTTTTCCTGATCCCGTGTTTTTCCCACCCAGGAATCTACACTTCCTATAAAACATTCCTTCACAAAGACAAAACCCTGATCAAAAGGCTGCTGAAGGTGAGCACCTCCCAGGCTGTCCTGGTGGGAAACTGTGCCAGAGCTGGCTTTGAGCAGACAGCTCTCTAAAGGAGCAGAACTTACACTTTGGGATGATTTAATCTATAATGGGACCATTCATCATGCCAGGTTTAGGGCTTTACACTTGATATTGAGGATTAAATCCTGGTGCTAGCAATAAACTGAGTGGGAATAATTTATATTTTAAAAGCCCTGAAAAAAACCCCAGGTTTTGTGTAGTGAAACTTGAAATTTTAATGTGTTTGAGTGGAGGGTGGAGTCTGTACTATGGGATCTGGATTTGGGGATCTGGAGTTTGGGATCTGGAGTTTGGGATCTGGAGTTTGGGATCTGGAGTTTGGGCACCTGGAGTTTGGGCAGCATTTCAGGTTCCTGTGGCTGCAGAGTGGCAGGTTGTGTGTGACAGTGAGGGGACACCTGGGTGACCCAGCTGTGCCGTGGGTGACACTGGGTGACCCCGTGTGACCCAGCTGTGCCATGGGTGACACTGGGTGACCCCACATGACCCAGCTGTGCCGTGGGTGACACTGGGTGACCCCGTGTGACCCAGTGTGCCGTGGGTGACACTGGGTGACCCCGTGTGACCCAGCTGTGCCATGGGTGACACTGGGTGACCCCACATGACCCAGCTGTGCCATGGGTGACACGGGGTGACCCCACATGACCCAGCTGTGCCGTGGGTGACACTGGGTGACCCCGTGTGACCCAGTGTGCCGTGGGTGACACTGGGTGACCCCGTGTGACCCAGCTGTGCCGTGGGTGACACTGGGTGACCCCACATGACCCAGTGTGCCATGGGTGACCCCACTGTCCTGCAGGGCATCCAGCGGAAGCGCCCCTCGGAGGTGCAGAGCGCTCTGCTGAGGAGGCACCTCCTGGAGCTCACCCAGAGCTTCATCATCCCTCTGGTGAGTGCAGGGACACCTGGGGGGACAGGGAGCAGTGCCTGGGACAGACCCCAGAGGGACTGGCTGGGAGGGACCTTTAAACTCATCCCATCCCCTGCCACAGCAGGGACACCTGCCACTGTCCCCAGTGCTCCAAACCCCACTGCCCACCTGGCCTTGGGCACTGCCAGGGGCACCACAAGAGGCTCCTCACCTGGAAGTTCTTATTTTTATTTTTATCTTTTCTTGTTTTAGGAGCATTACATGGCCAGCCTGATGCCTCTGCAGAGGGCCATCACTCCATGGAAGGTAGGATGCACTTCCCAGCCCTCCTTCCCTTTGGGATTGGGAGTGGTTACAGGGTGCTGGGCACGCTCCTGGGAACCTCCCCTGTTCAAGGAAGAGGGGTTTTACTCCTTTAAAAATTCATTATTGGGACAGATATTCCCAGTTTTGCCAGGAGCTGAATTACTGGGAATCTCACGTGAGGATTGACCTTGGGGTGTTTTTATCCTCAGTGCCTTGGGCTCCTTTCCCACTGGAAGTGCAGCCCTTGTTTTCCTGGTTTCCTTTGGGATTCTCTGATATGGATTTCCATGGACTAATGTGCATTTCCCTGTGCAGAATCCCCCCCAGATCCGCCCGTTCTGCCAGGAGGATTTCATGAAGAGCCTGGAGCACGCTGGGCCCCAGCTCACCTGTGTGCTCAAGGGGGACTGGCTGGGGCTCTACAGGTGAGAACCCTGATCCCACCCCCAGCTGGGCCAGTCCAAATGGGCAGCAATCCCTGCAGCAGCACTGGGAGCTGTGGGGCCTGCAGAACTCAGCCATGGATTAACTCAGGGCGGTCAGGGAGAGCAAATCCAGGGCAAATCCAGCCTGGGGTTCGTGTGTTTTAAATGAGTGGAGATCCTGCAGGGGAGTTGGTCCAGGGTTTTCCTGGATAATTGGTTCTGACTGGGATGGAGAAGACACTTGGTGTAATAGGAGTGGAAAAAATCCAGAAATTGGGTACCCAAGGAAGGAAAATGGGAAATGCGCAGATAGAGAATGAAAAAACCCCAGAAGGTGATCAGAAACAATAATTATAGAACTATGGAATGGTTGGGTGGGAAGGGACCTCAGAGCCTCTGCAGTGCCACCCCTGCCATGGCAGGGACACCTGCCACTGTGCCAGGCTGCTCCAGCCCCAGTGCCCAGCCTGGCCCTGGCACTGCCAGAGATCAGGGGCAGCCCCAGCTGCTCTGTGTATCTGTGCCCTTGTCCTGGTGTGTCCCCAGCCAGCCCAGGGTCCCCTTGACCCCTGCCCAGGGCCACAGGGAGGGGTTGTTGGATGGGATTGCCCTGTGGGTCCCTGCCAGCTCCAGCTCCCCGCAGTTCACAATTGCTGACGTCTCCACAGGCGATTCTTCAAGTCCCCCAACTTCGACGGCTGGTTCCGGCAGCGGCACCGCGAGATGACCCAGAAGCTCGAGGCCCTGCACCTGGAGGCCATCTGTGAGGCGGTGGGTGACAGGGACAGGGCTGGGACAGGGACAGGGCTGGAACAGGGACAGGGCTGGGACAGGGGCAGGGCTGTGTCTGTGAGGCAGTGGGTGACAGGGACAGGCCTGGGTTTACTCAGAGAGGAGAAGGCTCCAGGCAGAGCTGAGAGCCCCTGGCAGGGCCTGCAGGGGCTCCAGCAGAGCTGCAGAGGGACTGGGGACAAGGCCTGCAGGGACAGCACCCAGGGAATGGCTCCCACTGCCAGAGGGCAGCCATGGGTGGCATCTTGGCAATGAGCAATTCCTGCCTGGGCTGGCATTGCCAGAGCAGCTGGGGCTGCCCCTGATCCCTGCAGTGCCCAAGGCCAGGCTGGGCACTGGGGCTGGAGCAGCCTGGGGCAGTGGGAGGTGTCCCTGCCATGGCAGGGGTGGCACTGCAGGGGCTCTGTCACTGTTTCAGGAATGAGGATGGGAAAGCCCCTGCTCACCTTCAGGCTTTCCTTAGGGGAATCCCTTGGGAAGTGTCCCTGAGGGAAGCCACTCTCTCCTTAGGACATCGTGGCCTGGATGAAGGACAAGTCCGAGGTGGAGATCGTGGACCTGGTGCTGAAGCTGCGGGAGAAGCTGGTGAGTCCCTCCCTCCGTGCCTCCCCCTGCACTCCTTCCTCTCTCTGGGTGGAGAGAAATCCGGGACACAGATTGCACCTGTGCCATGGAAAACCTCGAGGACTGGGAAGCTCAGGGGAGTTTGGTGTTTGTGTGAAATCCTCAGAGCTGGGGGGATCCAGAGAACTCCTTCCCCTCCCGAGGCTCAGGTGGCGTTTCCTGCCCCTGTTTATCCCGAGCTGCAGCAGGCAGAGCCCAGCAGAGGGGCAAGGCCCCTGGAATGTGTCCATTCCCGTTTCCTGCAGGTGAGGGCTCGCTGCCAGCACCTGCCCGTCAAGGAGGAGACCCTGCAGAGGGTGGGTCTCTACATCGACACCATCATCGGCTCGCTGCCCGAGGACCTGCAGACTGTGCTGCACCACCCCTGAGCCGGGGGGCTCCTGGAGACCCTTGCCGGGCTGTCCCGGGCTGTCCCGGGCCGGCCGGGATCGCGGGGCGGAGCTGTCCCCGCCGAACCGCCCCTGGGTGGCGCCGCAGGGCAGGAGGGCCCGCCCGGACACCTCATCCTCCTCACCCGTGCTTGGATCCTCGGCACCCCCGCAGCCCCGTCCCGCCCGGGAGCAGCAGGAGCCGCCCTGCAGGGCACGGGCAGGAGGGGACAGAGCCGTGCCTGGCCCTGGGCAGCCGCGGGAGCAGCAGGAGGAGTGCTGGACATGGACAATTGCTGCTCTGTTCCTCCGGGGCAGAGCCAGAGCAGGGGCTGGAGCATCCGCAGGGGTCGGAGCTCCCCGGAGTGCCTGGGCACGGCTGCTGGGAGGAGCTGGCCCCAAATCCTATTTATTCTGCTTGGAAACCCAGCCTGAGCTCCAGGGACACGGCGGGGCTGAGGCTCTGGGAGAGCTCCCGCCAGCCCCTTGCCAATAAAACCTGGAGAAGCCGATTGCACAGCCCGTGCCGAGCTGCAGTGGGCCCTGCTGCGCTGCCCCTGCCTCCAGAGCAGCCCCTGAGCCCGGATCCCCTTCCTGCCTCGGGAATGGATTTGCTGGGACCAGGGCATTGGCGCTCCAAACCTGCATTGCACCACTAGGGGATCCATCCAGGGACGGAATTTTATCCTAAAAGAAGGGTTTGGGAGGGATGTGGCAGCCTGGAGGTGGAACCCAGCACCTCTGCACACGGTGGGGTTGTTGGATTGTTCCTGCCCTGAGCTGGGGCAGCTCCCAGTGCTCCCAGTGCAAGCTGTGCTGTTTCCATCGGTCCCTGCCCATTCCCAGTGCTGGGGGGGTTCAGAGGGGGCTGAACTCTCCTGAATTTCCCCTCTGGAGCCAGGCAGAGCTGCAGGAGGCTGCTGGGTGTCTCAGTGCCCCTGCCCTGCTGGAGTAAGGAGTTGTGAGCAATATCCTTCAGGATGGTGTAAATCCTGACATATCCCAGGTGTGTCCATGCAGGCCCCAAACCCTCCTGTAAGCAGGAAATCGTGGTTTAAGAAAAACCCCTGGAGCCAAACTGGGTCCTGGTTAGAAGGCTGGGGAGGTTTATTGGAGGTTTATTGGGTGGGGAATGGCTGTCCCTGCTCTTGGTCGCTCGTGGCCATCCTGATTTTCCAGAGGGTTCACAGCACCTGGGGGGGGCTGTGTGTCCCTCTGCCCCTCCCAAGGCATGGAATCACAGAATCACAGAGGCATTTGGGCTGGAAACGCCTTGGAACCCATCGAGTCCGACCATGCCCAGCACTGCCAAGGCCACCACCCAATGTCCCCAAGTGCCACAGCCACAGGGCTGGGGACTCCAGCATCTCTTGTAGCTGTTCCTCAGCAGCCCGAACCTCCTCCTTCAGGAATTCTCCCTCAAGGATGTGTTCTTAGCCTTGCATTCCTCCCAGGGAGGCCAGACCCCATCTCCTGCAAGCCCAATACCCCAGAGTGCTGGAATGGTTTGGTGGGAAGGGCCCTCAAAGCCCCTGCAGTGCCACCCCAGCCTCAGTGGTTCCAGCATTCCATCCCTGTGGGTCTGTGGAACTTGGGGGGTCTCCAGCGCTGTGGGACCTGCCCAGCCCCACCTGCGCCCTCCCAGACCTCTGCAGGCACCCGGGGCTGCATCCAGGGGATCCTGCTGGGACACCGGGAGCCCTGGGAGGTGGCACTGAGGGGCTTTGGGGTCCCTTCCCACCCAGCCATCCCAGGATTCCCTGAGCTGCTGGGAATGTGCAAATCCCAACGGGGCTTTGGGCTGCCACAGGGAACGGGATGAGATGGGAGCAATCCCCAGGGAATGGGATGAGATGGGAGCAGCCCCCAGGGAGTGGGATGAGTGGGAGATCAGGGAGCAGCCCCAGGGAATGGGATGAGTGGGAGCTCAGGGAATGGGTGAGGTGGGAGCTCAGGGAATGGGTGAGGTGGGAGCTCAGGGAATGGGATGAGTGGGAGCTCAGGGAGCAGCCCCCAGGGAGTCGTCGTAGAAAGCCTCGATCCCCTCGGGGCTCTGCAGGGACAGGCTCCGGGCCAGCACCTCCCGTCGGAAGTTCTCCCTCATCCAGCCATAGACCAGACTGTGCAGGAAGCCCTGCAGGGACACGCTCAGGGCCTGGGGACATGGGGACAGAGGGTCAGGGCTCCCTGTCCCTGCAGGCACAGCCCAGGCAGGGTGGCACAGGACACGGGAGGACTTCCCTCTTGGTGTGGCCAATTAAAGGGCATCCACCCTTCGGGGAAAGCCAAAGGAGGAAATCCCAACCCAAAATCCAGTGGGGAGAGCCACGCTGGGCCCAGGGCTGTGTCCTCACCCTGCCCAGGGTGTCCCCAAGGGCTGTCACAGCTCCCACGTGGGATGGGGACAAACATCCAGCCTGGGAGCCCTGGGAAAGGGGCTTTACTCACTGTGGACACGTAGAGCACAAAGAGCGAGGCAGGGCTGATGCTGGTGAAGGAGAGGATGGTGAGGAGGAAGGCTGTGGATGGGACACAGAAGGACATTCCTTGGTGGGACACCCTCTGTGTGACCCTGCAGGGCTGGGGGTACTGGGGACACCCTCAGTGAGATCCTGTGGGGCTGGGGGCTGGGGACAGGCTCAGTGTGACCCTGCAGGGCTGGGGATGATGGGGACAGGCTCAGTGTGACCCCGTGGAGGAGCTGGGGACAGGCTCAGTGAGACCCTGCAGGGCTGGGGGAGCTGGGGACAGGCTCAGTGTGACCCCGTGGAGGAGCTGGGGACAGGCTCAGTGTGACCCTGCAGGGCTGGGGGCTGAGGACAGGCTCAGTGTGACCCTGCAGGGCTGGGGACAGGCTCAGTGGGACCCTGCGGGGCTGAGGACAGGCTCAGTGTGACCCTGTGGGGCCCAGGGCTGTGGGACACCCCCCGGCCTTGCCTGGCGTCCAGCAGAGCAGGAAAGCCAGCTGGAAGTACAGCAAGGCTCTGCTGACGCCGCTCCCGCCGCCGGTGCCGCCGTCCCGGTGCGGGCCGAGCAGCGGCAGCGCCGCGTTCCCCCGGCAGCGGAGCCGCACCCGCCGGTACAGGAGCTGCGGGCGGGCACACGGGCGGGCTCAGCGCGGCCTGGGGACCCCCGGGCCGCCCCCAGGGCCGGGACCTCACCGAGCAGCAGCCGAGCACCAGCCCCAGGTAGAGCAGGAAGATGATCTTCTCCTCCAGCCCCGCGTTCGTGTCCCCGCCGGACTGGGAGGCAGCGGGAATGAGCTGGGCCGGGCCCCGGAGCCCCCCGAAGCCCCCCGGAGCCCCCGGCCCCGCAGGGAGGGTGGGTGGGGGCAGCGAGGGGAGGCAGCGCCCACCTGGGAGCAGATGTCCCGGTTCGGGTGGATCAGGAGGAGGCAGCTGCAGGGACAGAGCGGCGCTGGAGGTCCCAAAGCCTCGCCCGGTGTGCGGGGGCTGCCCCGGGCAGGGCAGGGCAGGCCGGGGCGGAGGGGCCGTACCTGGAGCAGTAAAGGCTGAAGGTGTCGTTGGAGCCGGCCCAGGGCACCACGGGCGCGATGGCGGCGGCGGAGGAGCCGCGGGCGAGCAGCTGCACCAGGAGGGTCATTGCGGGCACCAGCCTGGGCACGGGACAAGGGACGAGGGCCGGTGTGAGGAGGGAGCCCCGGGCCAGCCCGGCACGGCCCCGGCGCTCCGGCGGGGCTGGAACGGGCACCTACCAGGCCAGCGCGTAGGGAATGCCCTGCCGGGCCCGCTCCAGGCAGCGGCTCCGCTCCTGCGGGACAAGCGCCGTGAGCCGGGGCTGAGGGGCGGCTGCAGGAAGGGTCCGCCCTGCCAGGACCGGGGAAACCCCAAATTCCCGGGGAAAGGGGCTGCCCTGGACCGGCCCGCCCCGCCAGGACCGGGGAACCCCGAACTCTCGGGCTGAGGGGCTGCCCTGGGCCGCCCCGCTGCTCCCTGGCAGCGCCGTGTGTGCCCAGGGCGATTCCCGGTGTGCCCGGGCCAGGCTCGGACCTGCAGCGCTGCCGAGGGCCGGGCTCGTCCCCCGAGCACGGTGCGGTGCGACTCGTACGCGTAAACAACGACCATGAGGAACGAGACGGCGTAGGAGGTCTGGGAGAGAGAGGAGAGGGAAAGGGACCGCGGATCCTGCTGTGTCCAGCGCCGCCAGGGCACCTTCCACCCTCCCTCTGCCCCCGACGCCCCCATTGCCCCTGCCCGTTCCCTCCCCGTGCTCCACAACCCGGCTCCGGCAGACCTGTCCCGGTGCCCATCCCGAGGAGGGGACCCCAGGACTGTGTCCCCAGGACACTCCAGCCTCAGCTGTCCCCAGCAGTGTCCCCAGGACACTCCAGCTCAGCTGTCCCCAGGACACTCCAGCCTCAGCCGTCCCCAGCAGTGTCCCCTTACCGTGGTCAGCATCCGCCCGTAGGGACAGGCGGCGTAGGCGGGCACGGAGAGCGGGGCCGGCAGCAGCGGGATGGTTCCCGTGCCCAGCAGCGCGGTGGCACCCAGGAAATCTGCCAGGGCCAGGAGGAACAGGGGCCGCAGCTGGGGACAGGGCACCGCGTTAGCTCTGCCGGCAGCAGCCCCTGGCAGCTCCCGCGGCCCTTCCCGGGCTGGGCAGCCCCAGGCGGCTCCCGGGGGCCGGGGCGGGTGCCGGGTGTTGGGGCATCCTGCACCTCCTGTCCCCTGCCCGGGGCTTTAAACCCGCTGTTGGCTCGGCTTTGACTCGGGCTTAGCTGGGGCCAGACCCAGCCCTGTATCCCTGGGAGCCGGTGGCACTCACCTGGATATGGCAGCATTGCTACAAGCCGGTGGCACTCACCTGGATGTGGCAGCATTGCCACAAGCCGGTGGCACTCACCTGGATGTGGCAGCAGCGCCCCTGCCAGGAGGTGACAGCGAGGACGGATCCGCTGCCCAGGAGGCTGCAGGGGACGGGGCGGGTGATGAATGTCCCGGCCTGCCAGGTGCCAGCCCCGGGCGAGGGACAGGGACAGGGACAGGACAGGACGCACCTGAGCAGCGCGGCCGGGACGGTGATGCCCGCCAGCGCCAGGACCTGCGGGAGGCACGGAGGGAGCGCGGGCCGGGCCGGCCGGGAGCGGGGCCACCCCGAGCCCCCACGGGGGTGCCATGTGGGACCCTGGGCACGGCCGGACTCTGTCCCTCGGCCATCCCTGCCCGAAGCCGTGCCCGGGAACCGCAGCAAAGGCGTTTCGGGGGCCATGGAGGGGCAGGGCCGGTTCCTCAGCAGCCCCTCCGCGGTGGCTGCACGTGGCGAGGTTTCCCTGCGCCTTCCTCCCGAGTTTTCCCGCTGGGATCTCCGCCCAAGTTTCCCTCACCCGGGGCTGGGGAGCGCCGAGAAGCCGCGTCCCGCCCGCGGCCGCGCTCGGAGCGGCTCCCGACGGCGCCTGAGGAACCGGAGCGGCCGCCGGAGCCGGGCGGACCCCGGGCCCGGGAGAGCGGGGCCGGAGCCGGGGAAGAGCCGGTCCGGCCCCAGCGAAAGCCCGGCCCGGCTGTGTCTCTGCCCAGCTGTGTCCCTGCCCGGCTGTGTCACCCGGCCCGGCTGTGTCCCTGCCCAGCTGTGTCCCTGCCCGGCTGTGTCACCCGGCCCGGCTGTGTCCCCCTGCCCGGCCGTGTCCCCCTCCCTCTCCGGTGGTCCCCAAAGCGCTGGTGGCCCAAGCCCGCGCGGGGGAGCTCCCTCGGGCAGGGTTTGTTGGAACGGGAACGCAGCGCCCCGCAGCCTTACCTGGATATCCGAGAGAGCCGCGGGCTGTTCCTGCGCTCGGGCCATGGCCGCAGTCCGGGATGGACGGATCGGGAGCTGGAAGCGGCTCCCGCCGCGGCCCGGGCTCGCTCCACGCCCCGCTGTGGGACACGGCCGCGGCGCAGCCGGAGGAACCTGCCCGGCCGGGGCGGCAGCAGCTTCCCAGGGAGCAGCGGCGCCGTGCCAGCCCCGGAGCGGGGAGGGATCAGCCCCAGGCTCGGGAGAGCCCAAATGAGCGCTCGGATGCCCCCGGGCAGAGCGGGAATGAGGGAGCAGCGCCGGGAGAGCAGCCGGGAGCTCCTTGTGGGGCTGCAGAGAGCCCAGAGAGGTCCCGGAGCTGCTGCAGGGCTGGAGCCCCTCAGCTCCCAGGGAGCCAGGCTGGGAGAGCTGGGAATGCCCAGCCTGGACAGGAGAGGGATCCAGGGAGAGCTGAGAGCCCCTGGCAGGGCCTGCAGGGGCTCCAGCAGAGCTGCAGAGGGACTGGGGACAAGGCCTGCAGGGACAGCACCCAGGGAATGGCTCCCACTGCCAGAGGGCAGCCATGGGTGGCATCTTGGCAATGAGCAATTCCTGCCTGGGCTGGCATTGCCAGAGCAGCTGGGGCTGCCCCTGATCCCTGCAGTGCCCAAGGCCAGGCTGGGCACTGGGGCTGGAGCAGCCTGGCACAGTGGAGGTGTCCCTGCATGGCAGGGGTGGCACTGGAGGGGCTCTGGGCTCCCTTCCCACCCAGCAATGCCAGGATTCTCAGTGCCAGGCTCCTCTGCATCCCCTCAGCTGCCACAGCCCGACTGCAGGGGTAGGTGCAGGAATGAACCATTCCCCTTCTCACACTCCCAGGAACCTCTGGAAATCACGGGATTTAGCAATTTTGTGATAATTTTAACACAAGGATGTTCCAACATCCACCAAAAATCCTCAAGCAATGCCCATCCCATCCCCAGGAGCCACCAGAGTCCCCTCAAAGAGGAATTTTACCTTTATTTCAGGGATATTGGCTGCAGGGACAGAGGGAAGAGGGAGGGAGAGGGGCTGGAGGGGAGCAGAGGCAGGAATGGCACTGGGAGCTGCAGGAGGGTGACAGTGACACGGAGCTGGGCACTCCTGGAGATGCTCCCCCACAGCAGCTTCCTCATCTTCCTCATCCTCCTCTGCCAGGGACAGACAGAGGGCACTGGGATGGATCCAGGTCCTCACAGATGGATCCTGCCTTGTCCCTGCTGGATCCCACACTGATCCCTGCTGGATCCCACACTGATCCCCTGCTCTCCCAGCTGGATCCCACACTGATCCCTGCTCTCCCTGCTGGATCCCACACTGATCCCTGCTGGATCCCACACTGATCCCCTGCTCTCCCTGCTGGATCCCACACTGATCCCTGCTCTCCCAGCTGGATCCCACACTGATCCCTGCTGGATCCCACACTCATCCCTGCTCTCCCAGCTGGATCCCACACTGATCCCTGCTGGATCCCACACTGATTCCTGCTCTCCCAGCTGGATCCCACACTGATCCCTGCTGGATCCCACACTGATCCCTGCTCTCCCTGCTGGATCCCACACTGATCCCTGCTGGATCCCACACTGATCCCCTGCTCTCCCTGCTGGATCCCACACTGATCCCCTGCTCTCCCTGCTGGATCCCACACTGATTCCTGCTCTCCCAGCTGGATCCCACACTGATCCCTGCTGGATCCCACACTGATCCCCTGCCCCAATCTGTGTTCCCAGCTGGGTCCCACCCCGTTCCTCTGCCAAGCTGGGTCCCCACCACCCCTGGGGCCCACTCCAGGTCACTCCATCCTGCAGGAGCAGAGGGAGAACAGGGATCCATCCCCACAGCAGGAGGAGGCTCCACCTCCCTCTGGAGTCCCGGGAATGGCTCCAGGGAAAGAGCTGGAGCCATCCCTGCCATTCCAGAGGCACCCCTTGATTCAACACTTCCAAACTGGGAGCGGGGACTGGGCTCTGTCCTGGCCGAGCCAGCACTTTGATCCTTGAGGAGCGTTTCAAACATTCCTGGGACAATCTCCCATCAGGGCAGCACCTGGATCCCGCTGTTCCTGGTGGGAACATCCCCCAGCTCTGCCCCCTCCCGGCAGGGACAGGCTCGGCCCAGGGCACGTTTTCCCTGAGGATTTTTTGGAGGAGAAACTGGCACCAAGAGCTGCCAAGGAGCAAAGGAGGAAGTTCCATGTCCCTGCCATTGTCCCCGGCAGTGCCAGGAGTGGCTGATCCTTCCCAAGGCTCTCTGGGCAGTGCAGCACCAGGAGCTGCTCCCAAACCTGCTCTTGACTGGGCTCCAGGACCCCTGGGGGTGTTAATCCAGACCTGTCCCTGTCTCTGGGCCTAGCTTTAGAGCCAGGATTTAATTCCAAACAACACCCTCAGGATGGGAATCATCCACAGGGAGATCCTTTCTCCTTCCTAGAATCCCTGATAGCCCAGAGAGGATCCCTGGGAAGGAAGGAGAGCCTGAGCCTCTGGACGAGCCTGGAGCTGCATCCACTGGTTAAATTAGGCTCTGCAAAAGAACCTTAAGGGGAAATGCCCAAGATTTCCCGCACTGAGCCCCATCTTCCTGAGCTTTCCATGGCCTGCTGCTATTTTAGCTCCACCTAAAGTGCTTCCCACCTTTCCTTTCATCTCCTGAGTCACCAGCCTGGCTGGAGCTTGAAGATCCACGTGAATTCCACTCGGTGCCATGTCTGACAGGTAGGGATTGCTTTTAAACCACCTTTAAAAAACCTCAGCATCTTCAATCCCATGGTTTCCAAATCAAGTCTCAACTTGAAGCAAATTCCCACCACGGAGGCTTTGGGGCTGGAAAAGTTGGCACAACCTCACTGCAAATTAGTGCTAAGAGCCCCAATTGGAGCCCAAATCCTGGCAAGCTGGTGCTAAAAACCCCAGCTGGAGCCCAAATCCTGGCAAGTTAGTGCTAAGAACCCCAGCTGGAGCCCAAATCCTGGCAAGTTAGTGCTAAGAACCCCAGCTGGAGCCCAAATCCCGAGCGATGCGGCGCGGCTGGGACGAGGTTTCGGTCAGTCCTCGGGAAAGAGCTCTTACGGCAAAGGGAATAAAACCCAGCCCTCATCTCTTCCCGTGGGGCCACCAGGAGCCGTGGGCCGAGCTCTTGGCGATGCTCAGCTTCTCCTCGGGGCTGAAGTGCAGGACGGCCAGGATGGCCGTGAGCGTCTGCTGGCGGCCCCGCGCGTCCGGCAGCGTCAGGAACCGGTACACCACGTTCTTCAGGTACTCCAGGTTGGCTCCTTCCCTGCTCCTATCGCGGCAGCTCTTCTGGATCTCGTCCCGCAGCGCCGCCACCTCCTCGCGGTGCCGGTCCTCCTCGGCCAGGGCCCTGCCCTGCAGCTGGTGCAGCTGCACCTCCAGCCGGTGCCGGTGCTTGCGCAGCGCCGCGATCTCCACCTCCTTGCGCGCCAGCTGCTCCGCGTACAGGAAGAAGGTGGGCTCGGAGCCGGAGCACGGCTGCAGCTCCTGCGGCAGGATCTCCGAGGAGTCCCGGCCGGGAGCGTCCCCGGGGCCGGGCCCGCCCTCCCGGGAGCCCTTGGGGCCGTGGGGCAGCGCGAGGGCGCGGAGCTGCTCCAGCTCCCGGTCCTTCTCGGCCAGCACGGCCAGCGCCCGGTCGCGCTGCTTGTGCATCTCCTCCTCCAGGCGCAGCGCCCGCTCCCGGAACTGCAGCTGGCACCGCTCCAGCTCCTGCCGGTGCAGCTGCTGCAGCTGGGACAGCTCCCGCTTCCGGGCCGCCAGCTCCTGCCGGTGCCGCTCCTCCGCGTCGTCCGCGGCCAGCTGCAGCAGCACGTGCTTGTCCTGGAGCTCCGCCAGCCGCTCCCGCGCCTCCTCCAGCTCCTTGGCCAGCCCCACGTCCTTGCTGGCCTTGCTCTTGAGCACCTGCTGCGCCCTCACCTTGTAGCGCTCGAACTCCTCCTTGAGCTGCCCGAGCTCCTGCTGGCAGCGCCCGCCCGGGGCCTTGTCCCCGTTCCCGTCCCCGCCGCTCGGGGCCGGCTCCGGCTCCCGCGGCTCCTCCGCCTCCGCGCCCTTCCCGGCCGCCGCCTGCAGGAGTTTCCGCAGCTTCTCCATCTTCTCCTTGAGCGCGCTCACGTCCAGGGTGGCCTCCTCCACGGCCACCTCGCCCAGGGAGCGGCTGGAGGCGGCGATGGCCAAGGTCTTGTTCTCCAGGTCCAGCTGCACGACGCGATCCTTGAGCCTCTGGATGGTGGCCTGGTCCCTCTGCTTGGCCTTCTCGTAGGTGCCCAGCAGCTCGGACACCTGGGACACCTGGGCCTCCAGCTCGGCCACGCGCCGCTCCTCCCGCTGCGAGCGCTGCCGGAGCTGCTCCTCGGCCTGGGCTGTCTGTGCGGGGACACGGCAGGGTTAGGGCAGCATGGGGACACACCCGGGGTCACACAGGGACCCTACTCTGCTCCAAACCAACAAGGGGCCCTCCCCACCCCAGGAACCCTGCCTGAGACACCTCCCTGTCCTGGCTGTTATGGGATTTGTGTGTTTGGAATCCTGGAATGCGTTGGGTGGGAAGGGACCCCAAAACCCCTCCAGTGCCACCATGGCAGGGACACCTCCCACTGTCCCAGGCTGCTCCAGCCCCAACGTCCAGCCTGGCCTTGGGATCCAGGGGCAGCCCCAGCTGCTCTGGGCACCCTGTGCCATTTATTTTGAACCTCCTGGAATCTGAGGGACTGGGAAGGGGAATTTGTCTGACTCCAGCCCCACTCCCTGGATACATCCCACAGAGAGCTGTTCCCCAGGACTGTCATCCCATCAACCCAAGCCAGGATTCTACGGACTCTCAGAGACTGGGAGAGGGAATGTGGCTCCTCTAGCCCCAGTCCCTGGACACCAGCCTCATTCCCAGCCAGCAATCACCTTCTTCATCTCCTGCACCAGCTGCAGCTGGAAGTGGTTCTTGAGGCCGGCCATCTCCTCCTGCAGCTCCTGGATCCGCGGGTCAGCCCTGCCGCTCTCCTCGCGCACGCCCTGCAGTTCCCTGCGCAGCTCCTCCAGCTCCTGGCTCAGCTGCCGCGCCTGCTGCTCGCGGCCCTGCTCGGCGGTGCCGGCCAGCGCCTCCCGGGCCCGCTGCAGCTCCCGCTCGGCGGCGCGGCGCCCGTCGCGCTCGGCGCGCAGCAGCTCCTGCAGCTCGCGCAGCATCAGCCCGTGGTCGCCCTGCTCGCGCTCCCGCTCGCGCTGCTGCTCCAGGAGGCGGCCGCGGGTCTGGGCCAGCTGCTCCTGCAGCTCCTGCAGTCGCTCGGCCTCGGCCCGCGCCCGCGCCGCCGCCTCCTCCAGCTCCTGCTTCATCTGCCGCCGCTCCGCCTGGTACGAGGCCTCCATGCGCGACTTCTCCTGCGTCACGGTGGCCAGCGCGCCCGTCAGCGTGGCCAGCTGTGCCTTCAGCTGCTGCAGCCGCCGCTCGGGCTCGCCGGCGCTTGGCTCCCCGCCCTCGGCGCCGCTCGGCTCCTCGGCCCTCAGGGAGGGGCCGCCCGCGGGTTTGTCCTCCTCGTCCCCCCCGGGCGGGCCGGCCGCGGTGTCCACGCTGGCGGCCGTGCCCGCGCTGTCCTCGCTGTGCTCCGAGCTCCGGTCGTCCGGGGAGTCCGCGGCTGCGGGCGGGGGCACGGGCAGCTCCCCGTCGTGGGACACGGAGAGCGCCTTGAGGCTGGCTTCCAGCGCCTCCTTCTCCTTCAGCAGGCTCTTGTAGGCGCGGACGACGTCCTTGAGGCGCGCCTGGAAGCGCAGGAGCTGCTGCTTCTGCGTCTCGATGGTCTCCAGCAGCTCCTTCCTGCTGGGGCCGCCCCCGAAGTTCATCCCGAACTTCTCCATGGCGGGGGAACCTGGGGGCGAGCAGGGCAAGGAGAAAGGGCACCTTTGGGATGGGCAGGAGGACACCAAACGGACAGCAAAGATCACAAACACCACCCTGACCATGCCCTGCCCATGTGGGCCATCCTGAACCCCTCAGGAACCCCATCCTGACCTGCCCAGGGCTCCCATCCTGGCCCCTCGAGACCCCCATCCTGACCCCGCCAGGACAGAACCCTGACCCCCAGGACACCACTCTGAGCTGCCCTCCAGGACCCCCATGCTGACCCCGCCAGGACAGACCCCTGAGCCCGCCAGGACAGACCCCTCACCCCCAGGACACCACCCTGAACTCCCCTTCCGGGACCCCCATGCTGACCCCGCGGACACCACTCTAACCGCCCAGACACCCCCCAGACCCCCCTGGGCCCTCCATTGTCACCTCCTCAGGACCACCCTGACCCCTCAGAACCCCTCCTCAGGACCACCCTAACCCCCGGGCCACCGTGATCCCTCCGGACACCACCCGGGCCCAGCACCGTCAGCGCCTCTGGACCATCCCGACTACGACCCTGACCGCTCCGGCCGCCCTGCAATCCCCGGCCCCGCCATCCTCACCCCCGGACCCCGGTCCCCCCTCACCTCCGGCCGGTTCCGCCGCGCCGCCACTTCCGCCGGAAGCTGCTGGAGGAGCGGGGCAAAGGCAGCGGTTACGGGGGGGGCGGAGCCGCCCCCAAATAAAGCGATCTGTGGGCGTGGCTATATGAGGGGCGGGGCAACGCGCGCGTGCACACGGGTGTGGGCGTGGTTTATGCCCCCATGGGGCGTGGCCTCAGCGCGCTACGCGGGCGTGGCCTGTTGCGTTGGGGGCGTGGTTTATGGCGAGGGGCGTGGCCTGAGCGGCAAGGAATGGTCGTGTCCCCAAGGGGCGTGATCATTTATGTGGGCGTGGTCTGGGGATGGGGCGTGGCCTTTGGCCCGGCTCCGCACGGCGGTGACAGCAGGGTGGTGCCTTGTCCCTCCGTGTGTCCCCTGGAGTGCCCCGTGTCCCCTCGTGTCCCCTCGTGTCCCCTCGTGTCCCTCCGTGTCCCCCATGTCCCCCCGTCCACCCGTGTCCCTCCGTGTCCCCCCGTGTCTCCTCGTGTCCCTCCGTGTCTCCCTCTGTGCACCCGTGTCCCCCTCTGTCCACCCGTGTCCCTCCGTGTTCCCCCGTGTCCTCCCGTGTCCCCGTCGTGTCCCCCCGTGTCCCCTCGTGTCCCTCCGTGTCTCCCTCTGTGCACCCGTGTCCCCCTCTGTCCACCCGTGTCCCCCCGTGTCCCCTCGTGTCCCTCCGTGTCTCCCTCTGTGCACCCGTGTCCCCCTCTGTCCACCCGTGTCCCCCCGTGTCCCTCCGTGTCCCCCCGTGTCCCCCCCGTCCACCTGTGTCCCTCCGTGTCCCCCCGTGTCCCCTCGTGTCCCTCCGTGTCTCCCTCTGTGCACCCGTGTCCCCCCGTGTTCCCTCGTGTCCCTCCGTGTTCCCCCGTGTCCTCCCGTGTCCCCGTCGTGTCCCCCCCTGTCCCCCCGTGTCCCCCCCGTGAACCCCCTGTCCCCCCGTGTCCCCCTCTGTGCACCCGTGTCCCCCCCGTCCCCTCGTGTCCCCTCGTGTCCCGTTGTGTTCTTCCCGTGTCCCGTTCCGCGCCTCATGTGCCCTCGTGTCCCCCCATGTCCGCCCCGTGTTCCCCCACGTCCCCCGTGTTCCCTCCATGTCCCTTCGTGTCCCCCCCATGTCCTTCGTGTCCCCAGTGTCCTCCCCGTCGTCCTTGTCCCCCTGTGTCCCCCTGTGTCCCGCTGTGTCTCCCCGTTTCTCCCCCACCCCCTTGTCCCCACCCTGGCCCCGTGTCCCCTCCGTGTCCCCTCCATGTCCCCTCTGTATCCCCCCCGTGTCCCCCCCGTGTCCCCTCCGTGTCCCCTCTGTGTCCCCCCCGTGTCCCCTCCGTGTCGCCCCGAGGGGGTCTCAGTGCCAGCCCGCAGCGCGGTCGTGGCGGGCGGGGCAGGGAGGTGACACCGAGCAGGGTCCCCGCCGCGGATGGCGGAGCGGGACGAGCAGTGTCGCACCCCTCCCGTGCTGTCCCCACGGCTGTCGCTGTCCCCCCAGCCCCTGCACCCTCTCCAAGGGGGTGTCCCCGCTGGGGCGGGCTTGAGGAGCATCCCGGTGCTCCGAACCCTCCGGATAGCCATGGGGACGAGCTGGAGCGCCCTCGGTGTGTCCCAGCGCCACCTCAACCGGGGCCTGTCCCCGCTGTCCCCTGCGGGAGGGACCCGCGGCCGCTCGGTGTGGCCGGAACGCCCCGGAGCGGCCGGGATGAATGAAACTCGAACCGTGCCGGTTCAGCGTCCTTGAGTCCGGCCCTGCCCTGTCCTTGGCCACGGGCTGTGGCCAGAAAAGCTCCGGTCCCCACAGAGACCCCAGGACAAAACTTTGTCACCCGTGTGTACGTTCTGAGCCGACAAAGAAACGAATTGGCTCTAAACGACATTAAAATCTCTTTCATTAATTAGCACTCTGTCTTCTACTGGGTATTGAATGCTTCCTTGGGCCGGGACACCTCCCACTGTGCCAGGCTGCTCCAGCCCCAGTGCCCAGCCTGGCCTTGGGCACTGCAGGGATCAGGGGCAGCCCCAGCTGCTCTGGCAATGCCAGCCCAGGCAGGAATTGCTCATTGCCAAGATGCCACCCATGGCTGCCCTCTGGCAGTGGGAGCCATTCCCTGGGTGCTGTCCCTGCAGGCCTTGTCCCCAGTCCCTCTGCAGCTCTGCTGGAGCCCCTGCAGGCCCTGCCAGGGGCTCTCAGCTCTCCCTGGATCCCTCTCCTCTCCAGGTGAGCACCCCCAGCTCTCCCAGCCTGGATCCCTGGGAGCTGAGGGGCTCCAGCCCTGCAGCAGCTCCAGGGTCTCCTCTGGGCTCTCTCCAGGTGCTGCTGCTGTGTCCCAGGGCTGGGGCAGCCCTGCAGGTGGGGTCTCACCTGAGGGGGCACAGGGGCAGCATCCCCCTCCCTGCTCCCCAGGGCTGGGGGGTTCTGGGCTGAGTCAGGTCCAGCTCTCACCCCCAGCACCCCCAAATCCTTCTCCCAGGGCTGCTCCAGCTGCTCATGCCCAGCTCGGTGCCAGCAGTGTCTGACCACTCTCACACTGTGTTGGTGGTCCGGGCGCTGCCCCCAGACCATTCCACATCTCTGTGACCCAGAGCTGCCCCTCCCTGCCATGCCCTGCCCATGGAACCGGCTCCTCTGTGACATCACCCCGGCCTGGTAGCACTGTGGGCACTGCCAGGGCCCTGGGTGTCACCAGAGGTGACAGCTCTGCTCTGGCTCTGCCACCTCCAGTGTTGGCACTGATGGCTTTGCTGTGGCTGCTCGTGCTGCTGGCCCTGGCTGGGCCCATGAGGGGCAACTGGGACACTTGCAAGTCAGTGGCCACTCGGGGGGTCCCTGGCACAGCCTGGGCGCAGAGGAGCCCCTGGGGGTCCCTGGCCCTGCTGTCCCCAAGCAGGGCACTGATGGCTTTGTGCTTCCAGGGGCACCTGCGGGCTCCGGCCCTTGAATTCCGACCACAGCTCTGCTGGCACGTCCCATGTGGGTGGCACCAGTGTCCAGCCTGGGGCCTGGCCCGGCATCGTCAGCATCCAGGCCACCTGGGAGAACGGCACGTGGCACATGTGCACGGGTGTCCTCCTCAGCTCCCAGTGGGTGCTCACGGTGGCACACTGCTTCGCCAGGGCCGGGTAAGAGACAGCAGGGACAGAGATGTCCCCAGAGCACGGGCAGGTGCCCAGCTCACAGCACCATGGGCCACTCCCCTGCCCACCTGGGTAAGCAGAAGGCCGGGAAATGCTGGGCTGCTGCAGCCCGTGGCTCTGCTCCCTGTCACCCCTCTGTCCATCTGCTCCCCAGGGGCATCTCCACGTGGGACGTGGTGATTGGGGCCACACATCTGAGACAGCGAGGCCCCGGGGCTGTGGTGAGACGCATCCAGAGGCTCCTGATGCATCAGCGGTATGTGACTACCACGGCCAGGAACGACATTGCCCTGGTGGAGCTGGACCAGCCCGTGGAGTGCAGCGACTACATCCAGCTGGGCTGCGTGCCCGACCCCTCACTCAGGGTCTCAGAGCTGAAATCCTGCTACATCGCCGGCTGGAACTTTGCCAGAGGTGAGTTCCCAACAGGATGTGTGCTCCCAGGGCGAGCTGGGTGCCCGAGGACACGGGCTGGGCACAGACAGGGACATAGATTGGGCACCGACAGGGACACGGGCTGGGCACACACAGGGACATAGATTGGGCACCGACAGGGACACGGGCTGGGCACACACAGGGACACGAGCTGGGAACCCCAGGGACACAGGCTGGACACACACAGGGACACGGGCTGGGCACAGACACGGGCTGGGCACAGACAGGGACACGGGCTGGGCACAGACACAGGCTGGGCACCCCTGGGGACACGGGCTGGGCACCCAGGAACACGGGCTGGACACACACAGGGACACAGGCTGGACACACACAGGGACACGGGCTGGGCACAGACACGGGCTGGGCACACACAGGGACACGGGCTGGGCACAGACACAGGCTGGGCACCCTGGGGACACGGGCTGGGCACCCAGGAACACGGGCTGGACACACACAGGGACACAGGCTGGACACACACAGGGACACGGGCTGGGCACACACAGGGACATGGGCTTGGCACACACAGGGACACGGGCTGGGCACAGACACGGGCTGGGCACACACATGGACACGGGCTGGGCACAGACACGGGCTGGGCACAGACAGGGACATGGGCTGGGCACACACAGGGACACGGGCTGGGCACAGACACGGACTGGGCACACACAGGGACACGGGCTGGGCACAGACACAGGCTGGGCACACCCAGGGACACGGGCTGGGCACAGACATGGACTGGGCACACACAGGGACACGGGCTGGGCACAGACACAGGCTGGGCACACACAGGGACATGGGCTGGGCACCCAGGAACACGGGCTGGACACACACAGGGACACAGGCTGGACACACACAGGGACACGGGCTGGGCACAGACACGGACTGGGCACACACATGGACACGGGCTGGGCACAGACACAGGCTGGGCACACACAGGGACACGGGCTGGGCACAGACACGGGCTGGGCACACACAGGGACATGGGCTGGGCACACCCTGGGACACGGGCTGGGCACAGACACAGGCTGGGCACACACAGGGACACGGGCTGGGCACAGACACGGGCTGGGCACAGACAGGGACATGGGCTGGGCACACCCAGGGACACGGGCTGGGCACAGACATGGGCTGGGCACACACAGGGACACGGGCTGGGCACAGACACAGGCTGGGCACACACAGGGACACGGGCTGGGCACAGACATGGGCTGGGCACACACAGGGACACGGGCTGGGCACAGACACAGGCTGGGCACACACAGGGACATGGGCTGGGCACCCAGGAACACGGGCTGGACACACACAGGGACACAGGCTGGACACACACAGGGACACGGGCTGGGCACAGACACGGACTGGGCACACACAGGGACACGGGCTGGGCACAGACATGGGCTGGGCACACACAGGGACATGGGCTGGGCACAGACACAGGCTGGGCACACACAGGGACACGGGCTGGGCACAGACACGGGCTGGGCACACACAGGGACATGGGCTGGGCACACACAGGGACACGGGCTGGGCACAGACACAGGCTGGGCACACACAGGGACACGGGCTGGGCACAGACATGGGCTGGGCACACACAGGGACACGGGCTGGGCACAGACACAGGCTGGGCACACACAGGGACACGGGCTGGGCACAGACACGGGCTGGGCACAGACAGGGACATGGGCTGGGCACACCCAGGGACACGGGCTGGGCACAGACATGGGCTGGGCACACACAGGGACACGGGCTGGGCACAGACACGGACTGGGCACACACAGGGACACGGGCTGGGCACAGACAGGCTGGGCACACACAGGGACACGGGCTGGGCACAGACACAGGCTGGGCACACACAGGGACACGGGCTGGGCACAGACAGGCTGGGCACACACAGGGACACGGGCTGGGCACAGACATGGGCTGGACACACACAGGGACACGGGCTGGGCACAGACACGGACTGGGCACACACAGGGACACGGGCTGGGCACAGACATGGGCTGGGCACACACAGGGACATGGGCTGGGCACAGACACAGGCTGGGCACACACAGGGACACGGGCTGGGCACAGACACGGGCTGGGCACACACAGGGACATGGGCTGGGCACACACAGGGACACGGGCTGGGCACAGACACAGGCTGGGCACACACAGGGACACGGGCTGGGCACAGACACGGGCTGGGCACAGACAGGGACATGGGCTGGGCACACCCAGGGACACGGGCTGGGCACAGACATGGGCTGGGCACACACAGGGACACGGGCTGGGCACAGACACGGACTGGGCACACACAGGGACACGGGCTGGGCACAGACAGGCTGGGCACACACAGGGACACGGGCTGGGCACAGACACAGGCTGGGCACACACAGGGACACGGGCTGGGCACAGACAGGCTGGGCACACACAGGGACACGGGCTGGGCACAGACACAGGCTGGGCACACACAGGGACACGGGCTGGGCACAGACATGGGCTGGGCACACACAGGGACACGGGCTGGGCACAGACACCGGCTGGGCACACACAGGGACACGGGCTGGGCACAGACACAGGCTGGGCACCCTGGGGACACGGGCTGGGCACAGACATGGACTGGGCACACACAGGGACACGGGCTGGGCACAGACATGGACTGGGCACACACAGGGACACGGGCTGGGCACAGACAGGCTGGGCACACACAGGGACACGGGCTGGGCACAGACACAGGCTGGGCACACACAGGGTCCGGCCGCACGGCGCCAGCGGGGCCGGGCTCGGAGCAGCTTGGGCTGGGGGAAGGAGTCTCCACCAAGACAGAGCATGGAACGGGATGAGCTGTAAGGTCCCTGCTCACCCAAACAATTCCTGCTGGCCCTGGGAAACCTCGGGGGTTTGGCCCCTTCCCCAGGCCAACAGCAGGGACACAGCTGGACAACATCACCTGTGGGGAAGGGGCAGGGACACAGCTGGACAATGTCACCTGTGGGGAAGGGGCAGGGACACAGCTGGACAATGTCACCAGTGGGGAAGGGACAGGGACACAGCTGGACAACATCGCCTGTGGGGAAGGGGCAGGGACACAGCTGGACAATGTCACCTGTGGGGAAGGGGCAGGGACACAGCTGGACAATGTCACCCGTGGGGAAGGGGCAGGGACACAGCTGGACAACATCGCCTGTGGGGAAGGGGCAGGGACACAGCTGGACAATGTCACCTGTGGGGAAGGGGCAGGGACACAGCTGGACAATGTCACCCGTGGGGAAGGGGCAGGGACACAGCTGGACAACATCGCCTGTGGGGAAGGGGCAGGGACACAGCTGGACAATGTCACCCGTGGGGAAGGGGCAGGGACACAGCTGGACAACATCACCTGTGGGGAAGGGGCAGGGACACAGCTGGACAATGTCACCCGTGGGGAAGGGACAGGGACACAGCTGGACAACATCGCCTGTGGGGAAGGGGCAGGGACACAGCTGGACAATGTCACCCGTGGGGAAGGGGCAGGGACACAGCTGGACAACATCGCCTGTGGGGAAGGGGCAGGGACACAGCTGGACAATGTCACCCGTGGGGAAGGGACAGGGACACAGCTGGACAACATCGCCTGTGGGGAAGGGGCAGGGACACAGCTGGACAACATCGCCTGTGGGGAAGGGGCAGGGACACAGCTGGACAATGTCACCCGTGGGGAAGGGGCAGGGACACAGCTGGACAATGTCACCCGTGGGGAAGGGACAGGGACACAGCTGGACAATGTCACCCGTGGGGAAGGGGCAGGGACACAGCTGGACAATGTCACCCATGGGGAAGGGGCAGGGACACAGCTGGACAACATCACCCGTGGGGAAGGGACAGAGCCAGGCCCGGGAAGGGGACTCACCCTAAGCAGGGGAAGGGATGGGTACCGAGCTGCTGGGGCTCATTCCCCTCTGTGCCAACAGCTCAGGGAGCAGCCATGGTGCTGCAGGAGTCCAAGGTTCACCTCATGGACACCGAGCTCTGCAACAGCAGCCGGTGGTACGCGGGGGCTGTTCATGCTGACAACCTCTGTGCTGGGTACCCACAGGGCGGCATCGACACCTGCAAGGTAGGAGCCCCCACAGGCAGCCCAGCCTGTCCCCTGTCCACCCTCCCCTCCCCACCCGTGGGTCCCTGTCCTATGTCCCCCTGTCCCCAAGGCCTGTTCCTGCCCACAAAGCACATCCAGCAGACCCAAAGTGCAGATGTGACCCTGGAACATCTGTCCTCTGCACATCTGGGGCCTATGTGCAGAGATGGGAGAGCCCCCGACCTGTGCTGGGAATGCAGACCTGGCAGGGACTGGGAGAGAGGAGCCAGCCCCGGGATTGGGAGAGAGGAGCCAGCCCCGGGATTGGGAGAGAGGAGCCAGCCCTGGGATTGGGAGAGAGGAGCCAGCCCCGGGATTGGGAGAGAGGAGCCAGCCCCGGGATTGGGAGAGAGGAGCCAGCCCCGGGATTGGGAGAGAGGAGCCAGCCCCGGGATTGAGAGAGGAGCCAGCCCCGGGATTGAGAGAGGAGCCAGCCCCGGGACTGGGGCAGAGGAGCCAGCCCCGGGATTGGGAGAGAGGAGCCAGCCCCGGGATTGGGATAGAGGAGCCAGCCCCGGGATTGGGAGAGAGGAGCCAGCCCCGGGATTGAGAGAGGAGCCAGCCCCGGGATTGGGATAGAGGAGCCAGCCCCGGGATTGGGAGAGAGGAGCCAGCCCCGGGATTGGGAGAGAGGAGCCAGCCCCGGGATTGAGAGAGGAGCCAGCCCCGGGATTGGGAGAGAGGAGCCAGCCCCGGGATTGGGAGAGAGGAGCCAGCCCCGGGATTGGGAGAGAGGAGCCAGCCCCGGGATTGGGAGAGGAGCCAGCCCCGGGATTGGGAGAGGAGCCAGCCCCGGGATTGGGGCAGAGGAGCCAGCCCCGGGATTGGGGCAGAGGAGCCAGCCCCGGGATTGGGAGAGAGGAGCCAGCCCCGGGATTGGGAGAGCAGCCAGCCCCGGGATTGGGAGAGAGGAGCCAGCCCCGGGATTGGGAGAGAGGAGCCAGCCCCGGGATTGGGGCAGAGGAGCCAGCCCCGGGATTGGGAGAGAGGAGCCAGCCCCGGGATTGGGAGAGAGGAGCCAGCCCCGGGATTGGGAGAGAGGAGCCAGCCCCGGGATTGAGAGAGGAGCCAGCCCCGGGATTGGGATAGAGGAGCCAGCCCCGGGATTGGGAGAGAGGAGCCAGCCCCGGGATTGGGAGAGAGGAGCCAGCCCCGGGATTGAGAGAGGAGCCAGCCCCGGGATTGGGAGAGAGGAGCCAGCCCCGGGATTGGGAGAGAGGAGCCAGCCCCGGGATTGGGAGAGAGGAGCCAGCCCCGGGATTGGGAGAGGAGCCAGCCCCGGGATTGGGAGAGGAGCCAGCCCCGGGATTGGGGCAGAGGAGCCAGCCCCGGGATTGGGATAGAGGAGCCAGCCCCGGGATTGGGAGAGAGGAGCCAGCCCCGGGATTGGGGCAGAGGAGCCAGCCCCGGGATTGGGAGAGCAGCCAGCCCCGGGATTGGGGCAGAGGAGCCAGCCCCGGGATTGGGGCAGAGGAGCCAGCCCCGGGATTGGTGGCAGCAGCCCCCCACAGTCCCTGAACCATCTCTCCCGGCACAGGGGGACAGCGGGGGTCCCCTCGTCTGCAAGGACAATGCAGCTGACTACTACTGGCTGGTGGGATTGCACAGCTGGGGAAGAGGCTGTGACAGAGCCAGGCACCCCGGGATCTACACCTCCACTCAGCACTTCTACAACTGGATCCTGCTCCAGACGAGCCTGAGCCCTGCAGACATAAGTGGCACAGCACCAGAGCCGAGGTGTGCCCCGACTCCTAAGGCAGAGCTCACCATGGCTTCTGAGGAGGCCCCGACACCAGGGCCACAACAAGAGGCGCAAACAGAGCCAACACCAGTGCCAGAGCCCACGCCAGAGCTGGTGGTGCCAGGGCCACAGCCGGTAACAGACCTGACACCAGCGCCAGGGCTGGTGACAGAGCTGATGCCGGAGCCCGAGTTAGTGCCAGTGCCAGTGCCAACCCCAGAGCCAGAGCTGATGCCAGAGCCCGAGCCAGTGCCACTGCCAGTGCCAACCCCAGAGCCAGAGCTGATGCCAGAGCCCGAGCCAGTGCCACAGCCAACCCCAGAGCCAGAGCTGGTAACAAACCTGGTACCAGTGCCAGTGCCAGATTTAACGCCAGAGCCAACGACAGTGCCTACAACGGTGCCGACGACAGTGCCGACGACAGTGCCCACGACAGTGCCCACGACAGTGCCGACAACGGCGCCGACGACAGCGCCGACGACAGCGCCGACAACAGTGCCGGTGCCAGAGCCATCGCTAGTGCCAGAGGCGACACCAGAGCCAGAGGAGGAGACAGAGTTGGTGCCCGAGCCGGAGGCAGAGCTGCCGCCGGCGCCGACGACACCAGAGCCAACCATCCCCCCGGAGCCCGAGGAGCCGGCCCCGACCCCCGAACCAGAACCGACACCGGCAGCTAACAGGCGCCTGCTGATCTCGGTGCCGTACCAGAGCCTGCTGCAGTTCTGCAACCTGCTGAGGGATTTCCTGCAGTTCCTGAGGAGCCAGCTGGGCTGAGCGCAGCCGGAGCGGACGCGGTTCTGCTGCCGAGCGCGGCCCCGCCCGCTCCCTCGGGGCTCGGCCGCGCCGCGGGGCCCGAGGGGCCACAGCCCCGGGGCCGCTCTGTCCCCCCGCCCTCCCCGTGCCCTGCCGCCCCCCGTGCCGCAGCCCCGCTCGTGTTCAAACAACGCTGTTCGTGCTCCCCAGCACCGCGGTGTCTGCGCCTTTCCGCTGCGGGCGGAGCCGGGAGCCGGGAACCGGGAACAGGGAACAGGGAACCGGGAACAGGGAACCGGGAACAGGGAACCGGGAGCCGGGAGGGAAAACGAGCGGGGCTGGCCCGGTTCGGGAGGAGACGCGGAGCACTCGGAGCGGGTGGGAAAAGCGCTTTAATGCCGGGAACGGCAGCAGCCCGGAGCCCCGAGGGACGCGGAGCTGCCGGAGGTGCCCCCCGAGCTGCGGCCCCTCGGGGCTGTCCCCTCTGTCCCCGCTCCTGCCGGGACCCCCGGCCCCAGCCCCGCGGTGCCCTCAGGCCCCGTTGGGATCTCCGGAGCCGGGACATCCCCTCTGCTCCAGCGGGATCCAAAGAGCTGTCCTGGCTCTGGGGGAGTGCCGGGGCGCGGTGACCCTCCCGGGTCGGGTCAGGGATCCTGAATTCCGCCATCCACCCGCGTCCGGAGGCGCTTTGGGACCTGCCGCGGGCTGGCCCGGCCGCGCTGGCCCGGCTGCCCCCGGAGCCCGCCCTGCACGGATATCCTCAATTCCCGGCTCGGGGGGTGCCGGAGCCCCGCGTCCTGCCGGGACAGCTCGGGGGGCAGCGGGGGCTCAGCGGGGCTCAGCGCGGCTCAGCGGGGCTCAGCGGGGCTCAGCGGGGCTCCAGGCCCCAGGCTGGCAGCGGGGGCAGCCCGGGGGGCAGCAGGGCGAAGCGGGCGCTCTCCAGGGGCTGCCAGGGCGCTGGAGCGGGGGTCCCGCCGGGAGCCAGACCTGCGGGATGGACGCGGGGCTCAGGCATGGCCTGAGCAGGGCACACCCAGGGCACCCCCAGCAGCCCGGGGCCGGCCCCTCGTACCGCAGCAAGCGTCGTCCCAGGCGCAGGGCCCGGAGGCGCAGAGGTGCAGCGGGGCCTGGGGGCGCGGCCGGGGGGCGAGGCCGTGCAGGGGCTGCGCCGAGCCCGCGGGGGGGTCCGGGAGCGGCTGCGTGGGGACCGGACAGCGCCGTGTCACAGGGCTGCTCCGGCACCGGCGCACCCCGAGGGCACCGGGGCGCCCCGGACAGGGCTCCCGGCGGGAGCGCCGCTCCAGAGGGTGCTCGGGCCGGTCGGGGCGTCCCCAGCCCCCCGGGAGCGGCCGTGTCCTACCCGTGCGGCGGCGGCGGCGGCGGCACCGACAGCGGGCGGGATCCACTCGCACCAGGAGCCTGCGTGGGCACGGGCGGGCACAATGCCCTGGCTCGGACAGTGCCCGGGCTCGGACAGTGCCCTGGCTCGGACAATGCCCTGGCTCGGACAGTGCCCGGGCTCGGACAGTGCCCTGGCTCGGACAGTGCCCTGGCTCGGACAATGCCCTGGCTCGGACAATGCCCTGGCTCGGACAGTGCCCGGGCTCGGACAGTGCCCTGGCTCGGACAATGCCCTGGCTCGGACAGTGCCCGGGCTCGGACAGTGCCCTGGCCCGGACAGTGCCCTGGCCCGGCTCCCGGGGGCGCACGGGGAGCGGCCGTGTCCCTTCCCCAGCTCCCAGCGGGGCTCTGGGAAGCAGCCCCGGGGTCCCAGTGCCAAATACCAGCCGCACTCCCTCCCAGGGGCGCCCCTGTGTCCCCCGTCCCGTCCCCTCGGTCCCCTCGCTGTCACCTGCGCCGCCCGCCTCCAGCTGCCGCTTGCTCTCCCGTCGCCACTTGGCTCGGCGGTTCGAGAACCAGACCTGGGCAGGGGCGGGAGCTGAGGCTGTGGTCCCTGCCCGTCCCAGGGCCCTGGCACAGCTCTGAGCCCGGGACACGGACCCGTCACTGCCTGGGAGCGAGCGGGGACACGGGAGGGACACGGGCACAGAACGGAGCTCGATCCCTGACGTGGGCAAAGGAATGCCCGTGTCCTGGTCCCAGGCATGCACTGGGGCACGGGCAGAGGAATGGGTTTGATTTTGGGCATCTGAAGGGAAGGGGCTGCCGGGCACCCAGAGGGGCACAGGGATGTGAGTCTGGAGCTGCTGGGAGGAACGTGTGAGGAGTGTGTGCCAGGGAGTGTGCCATGGAGTGTGCCAGGGACTGTGCCAGGTGTGCCAGGGAGTGTGCCAGGTGTGCTATGGAGTGTGCCAGGGAGAGTGCCATGGAATGTGCCATGGAGTGTGCCAGGGAGTGTGCCAGGGAGTGTGCCAGGGAGTGTGCCAGGGAGTGTGCCAGGTGTGCCAGGGAGTGTGCCAGGTGTGCCAGGGAGTGTGCCAGGGAGTGTGCCATGGAGAAACCCCCGAGCCAGGACAAACGCAGCCCTGGGCAGTCACTGCCGCCCGCCCGTCCCAGCCCCGTGGCCAGCAGCGGTGACACGGTTCGGAGATATCTCCCGGACTGACAGCCCCGATCCCGGCGGTCCCCCCGGGCTGCTCGGGACACCGGGACGTGCCCGGATCCCGCTGGAGCGAGGTGGGTCCCCCTTACCCTGATGGTGCTGTCGGGCAGCCGGGTGGCCGCGGCCAGGCGCTCGCGGGTGGCGCTGTCCGGGTACTGTCCCCTCCGGAACGCTGCAAGGGCACCGGGCTGAGCGGGGCCGGGTCGGGACAGCCCCCCCGGCACCCGGGCACCCGGGAGATGGCAGGGGGTGACGGCAGCCGGGCCGCGGGGCCAGCGGAGTGGGGTGCGCTGGGTGGTTTGGGGTGCCCTGGGGTGGTTTGGGGTGCGCTGGGTGGTTTGGGGTAGTCTGGTGGGGTATGGGATGGTTTGGGGTTCTCTGAGGTAGTCTGGGGCGGTTTGGGGTGCTCTGGGGCGGTTTGGGGCACCACAGCGATGGCACGACCCCATCCCGAAAGCGGCATTGCCCCCCGAACAGCCCCGCTCGGAGCGCACCTTCCTCCAGAGCCTCCGCCTGCTGCGTGGAGAACACGGTGCGGTTCCTGCCCCCGCTCCGGTGCCCGGGGCCCGCCGGGGGCTCCCGGCTGCCCGGGGCCGCGGGGGGCTGCGGGCCGGGGGGCGCGGCCGGAGGGGACCCTGCGGGGACAGAGGGGCGGCGGCTGGGGCGGGCCCGGTGCTGGGCCGGACCCGGTGCTGGGGCGCAGCCGGTGCTGGGGCGCACCCGGTGCTGGGCCGGACCCGGTGCCGGGGCTCCCCAGAGGGGCCGGGAAGGGTCAGGAGGGCTCCGGACTCTGGGGCAAGGCTCACCCCGCGGGTCCCGGGGCTCGGCCGCCAGCCGGAGGTCGCTGGGCAGGGTCCTGAGCACGCGGTTGATGGAGGAGACCTGGGCAGGGGACAGGGGATGCGCCGGGAGGGGACGGGAATGGAGGTGCAGCTGTCTCTGGGCTGCTCTCCGGAGCCAGGAGTTCTCCGGCCCGGGGCCCAGCCCGTCAGCCCCCGGTTTGCGGCCCAGGACCCCGGAACCCCGGGGACAGACGGAATCTAACGGGGTGCCATTGGCGCGGCGGGGCACCGGCAGGGTGGGTCCGTCCTTGGGGAGCGCAGCTCGCCCTGCCCGGCAGGGACACTTGTCACGGAGCCACCGCGGTGTCCCGCGGCCCGAGGAGCAGCCGGGCTCGGGGGTGGCGCTCGGGGCTCTGATTCCGCTGGGAAGGAGCGATCTGCCTTCCCCTGCCCACCCGCTCCAGCTCTGCTTCTCACCAAGCACCGAGCCCTTCCGTGTGCATCCTTCCCATTCCCGAGTCCTTCCCACGGGCCCGAACCCTTCCCATCACACTGAGTCCTTCCCGGGACATCCACCCCACTGCCCCGAGCCCTTCCCTGCGCATCCTTCCCATTCCCGAGTCCTTCCCACGGGCCTGAACCCTTCCCGTCACACCGAGCCCTTCTCGGGACATCCATCCCCCTGCCCCCGGCCCTTCCGTGTCCCATTCCCACTGCCCCCAGCCCTTCCGTGTCCCATTCCCACTGCCCCCAGCCCTTCCGTGTCCCATTCCCACTGCCCCGAGCCCTTCCCTGTGCACCATTCCCACTGCCCCCAGCCCTTCCCTGTCCCATTCCCACTGCCCCCAGCCCTTCCCTGTGCACCATTCCCACTGCCCCCAGCCCTTCCCTGTCCCATTCCCACTGCCCCCAGCCCTTCCCCGCTCCCATTCCCACCTCCCGTCCCCGGCCGAGGGTCGGACCCCCAGCCCCGCCCGGCCCGGTGCATTCCCGCAGCCCCGGGGCTCCGGGCAGGACTCACGCTGGGGATGCCGCTGCCGGCGCAGGTTCCCTCGGCGTGCAGCTGCCGGCGGATCTGCCAGGCGAAGAGCCCGGGCTGCTCCAGCTTCAGCCGCGCGATCCTGGCCACCACGGCGGGGGTGGCCGTGCGGGGCTTGCTGCCCCCCGCCGCCTTGGGCCCCACGGCCCCCGTGCGGTAGTAGCGGCCCAGGATTTTGCTGACGCAGCCGTTGGACACCTGCGGGCAGAGCTTGAGCGCGGGGGGGGATTTGGGAAGGGCGGGAGACGCCCCCAGCCCCGGCCGGGCGCACCTTGAGGCTGCGGGAGATGTCGGAGCTGCGGGCGCCGCTCGCCGCCAGCGCGATGATTCTCTGCCTCTTGCACGTGGGGAGGGGGCGCCCGTTCAGGAAGAGCCCCCCGAGCTGGTTCACCCCGCTGGGCCCTGGGGAGGGGAACAGGGCTGGGGGCAGCGGGGCCGCCCGTCCTGCCCTCCCGGCTCCGCAGAATGGCACCGGGGAGGGGACGGAGAGGGGTGATGAGGGGTCCGGAGGGGCTGGGCAGGGGGAGCTGAGGGGGAGCTGAGGGGGCTGGGCAGGGGGATCTGAGGGGGCTGCAGGGGCTGGGCAGGGGGGGCTGGGGGGGTCCGGAGGGGCTGGGCAGGGGGAGCCGGGGCTGGA